GATGTTTGCATTTTAAGCTAGTGTATGCACATACTGTCTGCAAATATGGCCAAGTTCAGCAAATGCCAAAAACACATTGCTGAGTAGTTCAGGGCTTGCACAGTGAATGCAAGACTAAAGTAAGGATAGGAATTTGGAAATAGTATTGTGTTTCATAATACTCTGTGTAACCTCTTATCTTATGATTCAGCATATCTGATTCTAATATTTTGCGGTAACTGTAGGTTAGACTTGGGATTGTTGTTCCAGCAGGAAATTGTAATTTGTGAAAGTCATAAGCCAAATTTCAAAGAAATATAAGGTCAGGCTGTTGTAACTGAATACTTTGTTGTTATGTGCTAAAACCACCTCTTACCTTCCAAATAAACTGTATGAATTCAATTAACTTTGGCAATGTATGGCATGTCATTTAGTTGTGTTAAGTCGGCAAATTAGTTTCCATTTTGAATTTTTCTGAATGACATTGGTCTGTTTTGCTTTTCTGCTTGTCTCAATAAGGCTGCTATTCCCTTACGCTGCCAGCTACACTCTTATTGTATATAGCTGCTAGTAGGGATAAATGCATTGTATGCTGTTTTATCCCAAATGAAAATGAAGGCTGAGCCTTGCAAGTCATACTCAGTCCTCTAGCTGCCAGGATGCCTTAACTTATGGCTCTTGTGATTGAAATACAGAAAAGCAGTGGCTGTGTCTAATGGCTTATTATTAACTGTCTTCTGTGGAAGCTGCCTGAGTGGCAGAGTTTGACATCTCAGGTTCCTTAGGAACCTTGAAGGTGAACGGTCCTACTGGGATCTGGGAGTGTCACAGTCCAACTGATTCTGCTTCGTTATCACTTTATGCCAGGCACTGGCAGGTACTTTTTGCAGTGGAATCACATGGGTTGCCTAATATTTCATTGAAAATCTGGATTTCTATGTCCTGACTTTGAAGGCTTCTACAGAACCTAGAAATACTGCTGTTTCTTTGAACCCCTTCCTGAGAATCTCTTACTGTTTTCAGTTCTACACTGAAAGATGCTGGGAGAGTTTTGGCGAAGTCATGGTAGAAATGCCTGTATTATGGTTAAAGACAATAAGAATATGGAGAGAACATATCTAAGAGAATTCAGATGATTTTGAATGTTTGCAAAACCAGTATAAATCAAACGACTTTTTAAGAGGTCCTCTGAACATAACTTTTCCAAAACTGTAAAGGTGGCAATGGCCACAAGGGTGGAATACAAAATCAACAAATTTCAGGCAATGAATTATAAAATGCCTGCTGTGCAGAAAACCATGCTGATCGCAGTTAATCACAGGGGGAATTGTTTTATGAATGAAGACCACAAGGATTGGTCTCATAATTTGCAGGACTGCATTCACTTGCTCTTCTATTTCTTGTACCCGTGTTCATAATAATGTAAAGACTTCTTCAGAGAATGGAAATGGGATTTTGATAGCCAAAAAAAAAAAGTCACCTGCCAGTAATTTTGAACATGGCTGTTGAGTGGATTTGACCTTGATTTCAGCTTTGTTCTTGGCTGGCAGGTGCCTGGAGGCCTTTCAGTCTGCCTTAGAAGAACTTGTTTTAAAACAGTAGTATTTGTCGCCTAATTATGAATGCAGATATTGCATGTGTTTGTGATTTACAAGGCCTTGCTTATGTGAAACAGGCTATATACTCTCCTTGGAAATGTATAGTAGTCTGGAGTAGATAATTACACTTTGAGAAAAGAGCCTCTGTTTCCAGTGAAAACACTGTAAAGTTATTTCAGAAATGCTCTGACCTCAGACGTTTCATATAACTTACACAAAATGCTTTCACATTTGTGCAGCAGCTAGCAGCTTGATCTCTGCAATCTCATAAACGAAAGCACAGAAGTCTCCCTGGGAAAAAAGCAGGATGTCTATGCTGTGGCCTACAAAGCTAGTGTTATTTTACTCACTCTGTTCTTTGTGTCTAGACTCTTAAACAGAAGAAACCTTGCCCTGCTTTAAACAAATCTTTCTCCCAATCACACCCCACCCCCGCAAACCAGCTTTCCCTCAGATTTTTCTTTCTCCCTGCCTTCACTCAGTGTACACACACTAATAAATTCTGCAGTAAAAACCTTGGGAGACTTTTTCAGCACAAATTTAAAGAAGATGTCAAAGGCTGAGGATAGGAATTTTCTTTTTAAAGTTGCAAAAACAATAGAGAACAATTGAAACAATGGGGGAAGAGCCAGAGATGGGTGAACAAGCCATGACAGAATTGCATTAATTTTCTTTTGCTGAAACCCCACTGGTTCTATTCACTAACATCCAGAAGAGCTATTTTTGCTTGCAATTCTTTGTTTGTTTTTCAAGACTCTTGGTGGAAAGCAAAAACATTGCAAATACAAGTGCAGAGAGAATTGTTCGCACTTGTGAGAATGTTCACACTAGAAATGCTTTTGTGGCCTCTTGAAAAGCTGTTTTTAACTTCTGGTACAATAAAGTTGTCAGATATTGATGAAGAATTTGTATGAAAAATTTGTGTGCTGGAAGGATGACTACATAGAGACAATAGTGTGTCACACTAGGGGAGAGCAAACACCAGGCAGTCATAGTTGCTGGCTTTGTTCAATAGAAAGAAATGAAAAGAACCCCCTGGATTTCTGAATATGATGTGGACAAGCAATTTTAAGAAAACTCTGCACAGAAAAAGAAGAAAAAATTAATTGAGATATGTGATTCGGTCTTATAATAAACGTGTTTGGGTATGGATTGCTCTTTCAGAAAATTCTTAACAGAAGATATGCGAGGGTGAGGCAGGGACCACTTCTGCACGTGTAAACAGCTGAGCATATTGCCTGCAGTTGTAGCAGGAAGATGGTTTTGTAGCCCCTCAGATCTGCTGGCTGAATCTCATGTGAGCACGCTCTATCTTGTTTCTATTCCAGTGAGCCAGCTTAGTTCAGGGAGCTGATGCAGTCTCTGCTGTCTTAGTTTGTACCAGCTGGCAGAGCTGTGGTAGGCATGCCTCAGAAAAGCAGTGAGCCAAACCCCATCAGAAGTAGGGCTACCTCTGGGTGTAAGAATGGCATTGAGCAGCTGGATGAAGGCAGTAGCACTCCCACAACTGTGGCATGATCCAAAAGCCAAAATCTGCCTGCAGTCTTGATCATGTCATGTTATCTGTAATTTCACGCTTAAGACCCAAGAAATAGGATTCTGACTGTAGCAGATAGGGGTCATGTTATTTGCAGTTTGCAGCCAGTAAGATATTCAGAGCCAGTAGTAGTCTGATAATTCAAGGAGGTAGAATACATAAGCACAGCCCTTCACTTGTATTCAGTGTTCACAGTGAAAAAGGCAGAAAGAGCCAGCACTGATTGATTCTACTTCTTCCCATTCTGAAGTTACTGTGTTACTGATGGTATGAGTTTGCAAATTTGCAAGATTAAAGACATATATGTGTACATTTTAAAGTGGGCCTGCTGAAAATATAGTCTATGTAATGTCACATCCAAGTGAGTACGAGTCTGTAGACAGTACTGCATGTAGTTTCCAGTGTATGTATATGAACATGTGCATTGGAAAGGGTCAGTAAGAATTAAAGTATAAAAAAAATAGATGGAGACACCTTAAAGGTGCAGCAAGGTTGTATCCATTCATTAAATTGTTTGATTTACTTTGTTTTTAAAGAGGACAAGTTCTTGCAGAGTGGTACGAAGTGGATGGGATCATAGTTACCTGAGCAGATGGTTCCCACTCAGGTAGCAGTGAGCACTGTCCTTTGTAAAGGAGATATGGAGAAGTCAGGTAGCAGACTTGTTTCTGTGTGCTCTGCAGCTGACAGAAGACATGGCAGGCTATGGAAGGAGAGGCATATGTTTTAACTCCTTGGAAGATTTAGCAGCAGATGCTCTCCTCTGGCATGCATCAGAAGCCCTTAAAAATAAGCAGAATATTGGCTACAATGAGGATTCGCAAAAACTTGCATATGGTTGGTCACATCTTTAATACACAGCAGACTGACCTTCCTTCTATTTGCATTTATGTGAATCACATGAATTTTTACTAGTGTAAATTATGAAATGATTCAAACATGCTCAGCTCAACTAGGTTGCACTTGGTTATTTCTAATTGTCTTGCTGGTGGCAACCTTTTCTTATGCTGCATTCATGCACATACACACACCCTCTCTCTGCTAGCTTGGATGGCTCTTTCTCTGTTTCCAGCTGCTTTCATACATACCCAGGTCCTTTGTAATGAAACACCTGAATATCTTTCAGAAAAGAGAGGTAGAGTCTGCACTGTGTAAGCAGCCAGTTCTCTGCAGACTGCTAGTGCTTTTATTCACAAGATACTAACCTGAAAACTAGTGTTTTAGAAACCTGCTGGTAGCTTGCTGGAAGGTGCTCAATAAAAATGGAATAGGAAAGGACCACGCTGTTATGTGATTCTGTCACCTTACTGTTTGTCTGGTGGTAAGTAACAATAAATATTACTTCTGCAAATTCATGTTATACAAAGAGCAAATTTTGCCTACAACACTTGAGACTACACATCAACTTCAGCATTGCCAAAGATAGGAATGAAAACACTACTTTTAGGTTCCCAAGTCCGTTTTTCTTTGGCAATCTAAGCCAAGGAGGGTGCCAAAATACATGGCAGATTTATATGTCTCTGAATTTATTAGATGCACTTGCAAAGAAGTTTTACAGTCTTTAAAAACATTTATTATCTGATAGGAGATAAACTGTTGTTCCTATCTGGAATCAATAAAAGTTTTGCCATTTCAGGCATAGTTTTGCTTGTTGAAGTAGTCTGATTTAACACACAGGGTGAGCAAACTATTCAAGAAGTAACTACACAGTGCTATTATTAATACAGTGAAGAAGCTGTCTCTGGAATAGCCCTGGCCTTTGGAGTGAAAAATTACAAGGACATACATTGTTAGAAAGAACTTGCAGACTGTCACAGACATATTTCTTGCTGTGTCCCAGGATTTTGTCAGTATTAGTAATTCTTCTTTGCTTTTGTTTCTTTCAGGGCCCACCTGGTCCAAAAGGCGAGAAGGTGAGTTGATGTACGGGTTACACAAGACGAATGGAAAGCCCAGCATGAACTAAAGAGATCGTTTGTGTTGACGCAGTGTAATGTTAGATTATGTAAGAGAGCTGGGTAGCACACAGATGCTGTGTTAAACCTATCATCTCATCTTTCCACTTTGCAGGGAGATCAAGGTGATCAGGGCCCTCGGGTAAGCATCTTAAAAAACAATGTTACACTTCCCCTTGCTGAGTAGGCAATTAGTCTTTAGTGCAAAACTAAATTAAATACACTGTCTGAGCTAATTATGCTTATTAGCTGCCTTTACCCTGCATGTTGAAGTAAGTGTCTGCAGGACAGTAATATTGAACGTGACCAGATAGTGTCTGGGAAGATGTGAGTAACAGTAATAATGCATTCAAATACACAATTTTCATTAAGGGTGAAAGCAGGTTTCACAGTGTTTTTGCTCTGCTGTACAAAGCTGGCTTTCCTAACCAAACCTTTCAGTTTCCCCAGCAATGTTTTTGTGCCTTGCATGGGCTCCCACAATGCAGAGGGCTGGTGGGTTTCTAATAAATATACTTCCAGATTTCATGTAAAATGTGTTGAGTAATTAGTGAATTGTAAACAGATATCATGTATGCATGTATTAGCTCTTTTCCCTGATATATCTGTATTTGATATTTTAATATCACCTTGTAAATACATTCAAACCACGATTTAGCTGTGGAGATGTAAAGGTTCTTTTAGTTTTTAAATATGTTTATTTTAGCAGATCAGATAGATTGGCTGTGCCAGTTCATTCTTCTTTACATCTGTGCTTCATTAGAAAATGTTTGGTTAATTGTTCTGGTGATACAGTGACTCTCTTTGGTTACGTGTTTATAAATCTCTGTAATGGCATGTTCCATGGATTTTCTTTTTTACTTTTTCTGTCAACTATGTTAAATATTTTGAATTTGGAATTTTATTTTATTCTTCTGTTGTGTTTCATGTGTATTTAATTTGTAGTTAATGAGATTATCTAAAATCACAACACGCATTTATAGCTGAATTTGGTGTTGGTGCTGTCAGCTTTAATTACTTACAAAGGTGTTTTGTTATGCTTGGTAATATGACTGCATATTATAAAGGCAGAGGCCTGTTACTAAACAACTTTAAATGTTATTTCAGTTGAAACACAAAAAGCAGAATTAGAAAACTATTTAAAGCTATAAAAAGGAAATAGAGACTAGCAATGTGAATAGCATGAATACACAGATTGAAGATTCTGAAGAATGTAAAAAATTCCTTTTAACTTCTAAGTAAATTTAGTATCTCTCAGAAACTATGCTAGTCTGTGTATTTTGGCTAGTTCTGTGATATGGAGCCTTATGCAGAATGTGAGAGGAGAGAAGGCAGAGAAGGAGAGTAGACCAGCGCCTGTGGCTTAGGAGAGGATGCTCCATACATCCTCTGACTGATGCACAGTTAGAAGTCTGTGCATAGGTACTTGTGCTAAGTGATCATTCAGAAGAACTGGTGTTAAGAACAAGAGAGCAAATTTGACAAAGCTATAAGAAGGAGATACATTAATAAATAAATATGGAAGAGCAATACTGTGAAGAGTATTACACAGCTGAGGATAAGAATCTGGAATGATGAGTGTTGGAGAAGCTTCCAGGGAAAGAGAGGTCTGAATAAAAAAAAAAAAAAAGTGTTATATACACAAGGGAAAGATGAGGGTATTTTTTCTTATGGTGGCATAAAACGGAGAACAGAGGACAGTTTTGGAGGGTAAGCAAAGGTGCCGGAGCCTCGACTGGTCCAGAAATCTTGGCAAAATATTGAACAGATGTAAGAATTAAGAAGCGGTTAAGAGTGTGCGTCTTTCAACCCCTGGTCTGGAAGTGTTGGCAATAGTAAATATGAACATGCAGGTTTGTTCACTGTTATCTTGCAGGTTGAACAAGTGCAAGGACTGCAGTGGAATATCTGGTACACAGAGACTATTGTGTCCCTCTTTGACAAGACAGCCCCCTATACTGGAGGGCAGTAGAATCTGTACTGGGCCATAAAAATGATTACGGCTACATTATAGTTTTGGTAAATCACTTGCAGCTAAAAAGCTAAAAATATCTGACCTAAGGAATTCATGTTTAAGGACAGCACAGAGTTATATCTGCAGCAGCAGCTGGCAGCTGAGACTGAATTCTGTATCTGAATGTAGAAAAAGAATTTAGTAAGGCCAGCAATAGAGAAGGAGAGGTAGTGAGTAACACTTTGTGGGCTAGCTGAACCTTCACTGATTGTTTAGTCAATGAATATTGTAGCAATGTACCTTTTTTTGAAGTATATGGGTGTAGCGTAGGTAATTTGCTCAGTCTTGTTGCTTTTCCCTTTATCTTTTTTATGTGTGTTTGAATGTGTTCTGCAGCAGCTTCTTCTATTTGCCTTGCGGATTTCACGAGTAATAAGAACTACAAACCCTCTGACCATTTTATGTTTCATGGTACAGCAGTTATCTCTTCTGATGACTGTCTTCAGGGTGAATCTGCTACACTTGCTATGCCAGAGGATTTAGAATATAATAAATGTAAATTATATGTGCAAGCCAGTCATGCACTAAATGAAAATAAAGCCATTTAACCATGCCTGGTTACCTTTGCACATAGTTTTCCATCACTGCCTATGTAAAATAAATGGGTTTGGAGGTAATAGCATACCATACTGTTTTAGAGAAATATTGTACCTGAAAGTGACTGTGCGATGGAATCAACATTTGGATTTCACAAGTTTGCAGACAGACTGACTACAATGTCCAAAAGCAACCGACATGTTTAAACTAATTCAAGTTTTACAGACAAGGAGCCTGAAAGTTTCTTTGGTTTGGTATTTTTGCATATTGGTTTGAAACTTTTAAAATCCTGCTGAAAAGAAAAATGCCTCAATTTAAAAAAGCCTTTAAAGATTTTGTAATGGTAGGATTGCAAAGTATAAATTATCCAAGCATAGATTGTACCCTGATTACTGGAAATAGATCTTCAGAGGTGCATGTCTGGGAATGGAACAGCTAGTACTGAGTGTCTTAATCACTCTGTTCTCATCCTTGTATATATGACATAGTAAATATCTTCTGTCCTTTCATTCAGATACATGAGAGATTCCTTGCTTATCAGGTCTAGAAATCATCAGCTAGCAGCTGCCTTTAAATTGGTTTTGATCTAGGTACAATGAGAAACCATCCAGAAGCCATACTTACATATTTCCATAAAATTATTTTCTCTCTTTGGTATGTTTAAGTAAATTTTCCTAGCATCTGGATCTTCCCAGAACTGACAACATCTCTAAAATATCTTCAGGAGAAGAGAAAGTACTAGAAAGGTACTCAGAAGTTTATTGTGTTAAACTTTATTGACTTGAAGATTAAAAGTTGACTTGTGTACTGTTAAAACGGTGAGGTTCAGAGAGTAATGTTCTTTTTTTATTTAACCCTTTCCCCTTACCTGTTTACTTTTAATACATTTGCTACTTAGGTGCTGCAAACTAGGGAGAAATCATTGTTTTACAATAGAAATTTTGCAGGTTCTGTTCTGTGCTGGAAAACTATTTAAAAATGATCTAATGTTGACAGAAATGGCTCTGGATGCAGCCTATCTACTGAAATAGCTCAATACAACTGCGTGTGTAAATGTAAGCTATATTTTTAGCTGACGTATTGCTTCACTTGTATCATTATAGACACAATGTTTATAAACTGTCCCATGTTAAAAAGGAAATTGAAGATATCTAAGCAGTACATTCTGACCCGGATTTTATAAGAAAATTTTAAAACTTCTAGTTTTAAAATATGGACTATGATTAGGTAATAGTCTTCTATGGAATGTGTAATAAATATATTGAGCCTTTTCCCACTTCTACTGACAATTAAAGAAAACCTATATTCATGTCATTAGAATCAGTACCTCATTCGTAATCAGATGATAGTACTTACTGAGTGATGATTAAATTGTGATCATTAACTTTTCACCATCTTTTAAAGCCATCTTATTTTGTATTATTTTTCATTTGAAGGTTAGTAATTTTTATTTTTTTTTAGAGAGGAACAGGTTTGCTTCACAAAATAGGTAGTACTAGAAAAATTAATCTGATTTCTTGCCTTCAGGTTTTTGGGGGCAATGCTAACTGTAGCAAACGTAGGTAAATCAGTGATGTAATAGGAAGCTTTGTTCCCAAACAGTGCCAATTTTTATCTTCATTCAACATCTCGTCAAAGCCAAAATGTATAGGTGTATAGTCAGAATATTATGTTAATTAAATATAATTTTACATAATTTAAACATATTCTGTGAATTTCTTACAGGACTGCAATTGATGTTTAATTATATCATCTTAAAGTTTCTCTTAATTTCTATAAATACTACTCATGAATTTTGTCTTTCTTAATAGAAGGACTGGGTAACTTTCATTAGCATAGATTAGCTAGGAAGAGCTTTTTCTTTTCAGATTAAATACTCTTTGGTTTCATTTATATGAATATACTGTCAAAAACTCTGCAGAGGTGATGATATAGTGGTAGTATTCCCTTAAGTGATATTCTTATGTATGTATAAAAGCAAGTTTTTAGTTTACTATGTGTTATTTCAGATACATAGTACAAACATTGCATCACTTTAAGTTCATACTTGAGCAGTATGATTACCCACATTGTTGTTTCTTCTCTTATTAATTGTCCTCTGTAATACAAATTATAGTTCCCATTCTGTAGTTTAGAATATTTAACCACTGTAAGAAGGCTAAAAGAAAGTTCTTGGTTCCTTCTGTTAAGATAGCTTTTACTAAAGCAGCATCATAGGGTAAACTGCTGGACATCTGGTTTAACACCATTCTTTTTTTTTTGTGAGCAGTTAATCTAACTTTTGAGACTTTGTTTCCTCATCTGCCAGAAGGCAACACCGGCATTTACCCTCTTCATTCCTGGGACTAATTATCTGTTCTGCTTCCCTAGTATTAGGCTGTTGTGGCTCCCCTGTTTTCCATTAAGCTGAAACTAGGATAACAAATTGGAGCAAGGTAACTTTGAGCTCTGTAACTATATTAGGAAAGTGCTCAGACTGCAGTGGTTACCAACTTCATCTGAAGCAGTGGGACACTCAAATGAAAGGAGGATATGCCTCCTTTCGGAGTTCACAGGAGTGTCCTTTTGGCTGTGGATGACTCTCTAGGGCCAAAGTATGCCTTTGATGTTCAGCTCCTGAGGTTCCCCTGGGGAATGCAGAACAGCTGTGACACCCTCTTAGAGTGCCACATACACACTCCCAAGATGAGGATGTTGTCATTCCTGTCTTAAGAGCTAGTTGGTACGTGTCTTCACTCACCACCAGTTGGTTTGCATCCTGCTCCTTTTTAGTAGTGCCAAAGGAATGGTGAGGAAGGAAGTCTCTGTACATCCTGTTCCTTTTTCTACAGGCATGTCTGTGACTGGCAAAACATCATGTAGTTGTTTTAGCTCAAGCTGCAGCTGTCACGCTGCAATACTGAACACTTGAGTTAGACCAGTTTGATTGAAAACAACTCTTTAAAAATATTTCATGCAGTCTTAATGAATATCATAGAAGTGAATGACTTACCTGAATTGCACAACTGCAATGGGTATATAATTTGAAAAGAAACATAAGCCAGGACAGAAGATTTTTGGTGTGAGAACTAGCTTGGTTTGGGGGAAGACCAGCCCATCTTGAAGTTAACTGGATGTCTACCACCAGTTTCAGTGAGTAGTAGGTTTGCCTTCGGGAGGGAAGGCGATACATATTTTGCATATGTCAGATGGTGATCACTCATCAGAACTTGTAACTGAGTTGCATGGAAAAGATATTTGCCTCACTGAAAATTCATCTAATGCTAGGACCAAAATAGAAAAGTTCTGGCTTTTTCCAGTTTTGTTCATTTTGAGTGCAGTTTCAGGTAGAGTTTACTATGAAAATAGCATTTTCACATTATATTCACATTATAGAAAATAACACTTTTATAGTGACCTGTTTGTGCTAGTTCTTAAAATTACATTGTTTATTATTTTAATACAAAGTCTGAATCATTACATAATGTATCCAAATTAAAGCTCTTTGCTGAATGATTGCCTAAGCAAAAAGAAATTTCTGGATCCTTTTCCTCTTGGGGTGCACTGTTTTAGTTAGCAGATGTGCTGATGGAGAAAGCAGCAGCTATGATAAAAGGGATTATATAAAAGAGCTCCTGCTGAGAGTCCATGGCACCGTACAGGGTGATACCAAACACTGTATTCCCCAGGGCAGGTACAATAATTAGCTGCAGGACTGGTGCTTGGTCTGAAGGATTAATTAGAACTGGAGGTGGTGTTGGGGGGAGGTAAAGCAGTCATAAAGAGTGTCAGGATCACTCTGGCCAGAAGCCTGTGTGATTTGATGTGAAATAGCAGCAGCTGGCTGTAACCTTAGGAAGTGCAAGTGAACAGCAGGTGGTAATTCCTGTCTGGTTTACCGTGTCTTCACAGGAACATGTAAGCTTGTGCAGCTTGGGTTTATTGGCAGGTCAGAAGGAAAATCCTAAGGACGACTGTGACATTTACTATACTAAGTAAATGCAATAGTAAAAATTGAGTGTATGTAGCATAGTGTAAAACCATAAATGCTGTTGCTCGATTTTATTATACTTGCCATATGACAAGGTTATGATGACCTTATAACATTGACCTCATGTTGATCATTGCACAAAGTGGAATGCACCTGAAAAATCTAGGACTGCTAGTAGGAATCACATCTTTGAAGACTGTGATAATGTATCAGAAGAATTATTTATACTAAGTGAAAAATCATATGATGTTCTGGCATCTTTCAGTTTTCTCTGTATCTGTTGTCTGGGGACAAGTAGGCTTTATCGACATTTCCAGGCAGGTAAGCAGGACAGTGCATTATGAGGGCTGTTAGCCTCCTCCAAGCATCATGTTTTGCTTGGCATTTGGGCAAAAATTGCAGTGACGCATGCAACAAGTGTGCTAATCTGGAAATTGTAACCAGCTAGCATTTCAGGGTGAGCTTGAGTTGCTGTCAGCAGAGGAATTTAGTGGGCCAGTGGTCGCTGTTGATCACTGTAGTGTTTTGTATTCCGTGAGGGCCTCCTAGGGTGTAGGACAAGAGCCCTTCCTATGTGGAGTTCAAGAATCAAACCAAATAAAGAGAAAATAGAGTAGCTTTGAATCCATCATTGAGAACAGCTTTAGATAGAGAAAAAATAAAACAGATCTAAGGGATATTTGGGTTATATTTATAGCAGAGTGACAGGAAAAGAAGAGAACTCATTTTGTGGGGAGGATAGCTCTTTTTATGCCTCTTTCAAAACTCATTGTGTGCCAACATTATCTTTCATGGATGCCAAAAGATGCAGTACCCTCTAAAGCCTCCCACACATGCAAAAACTATGCACCCATTATAGTTTCTTTGCTGGGTTCGATTTAATATTCCTATGTTTCTGGCTCTCTCCAAATATGCGTGTTTTACATATGGAGGGATGATTCAGGTCCAGGCTGGCATTGCATGTCTCTGACCTATGAATCTCAGAATGTATGAGATTATGACTGCTTTAGTCAAAGGAAAGAAAGCTTTGTCCTACTTAGGAACAAGCTGAAAGATGTTACTAAGCTGCTGATGGAAAAATGGAGTTTTCCCATTTTCTCTCATGTTTATGTAGGCAGGAAACTGCAGTACTGATAGCTACTCTTGAACTTGTCTGTGTGGTGTTGGGAAGTACTGAGAATGCTGGGGCTGGACTGAGAAGTGCCCTGTGTGAATGTTTTTGTGTGGAGCTACACAAATCTTTCATTTTGTTCATTTTTTTTCTTGAGAAAAAAAAATCTTTCATGGCAAACCACTATATTTTCTGATTAAACTCCTTTCTTAATTAATGCTCAGCTCTACCTTTTTCAAGGTAGAAGATGAGTTTTGAGTTTCCACTTCTTAAAATGTCAAATTGAATATATACTTCTTCTAGAGGTAACTGAAAATTACTGTGCTGTAATCCTAAAGGCTGAGGAGTAAAAATTAAGTTGTTGAAAGATTTCCTGTTTTTTTCTTTTTTTTTTTTTTTATAAATGAGACTTAAAATGTATTGCTTGCTACTCAGATTTAGACCTTTTGTAGGTTTCTTGTTTGTACTCATTTCCATTACATGGGTATTGTAGCTTTATCTAGAAAAGGAATGGACCATGTGCACAGCAGGGCTAATGAGTCACAGATGTAAAGATTCTGGCAAGTTACTATCTTAATAACTTATATCCCATAATAAGAGAATTGCAAATTTGATACATCTGTTTTCTATATTATGTATCTCTCCTGTCTTAGTACTGTCTCAGAGTGAGTGAGTTTAAATGTTTGGAGTTTTAGCCTTTTTTGGGATTATCTTTGTATTTGTTTCTAAAGATGAGATTTCTGGTCACCAGGCAATGCAGTTAGCCACACCACCATTCAGTAGAACAAAATAAGAAGGCTTTATGGGCTACACTGACAGGGTCTCAGCTTTCTGGTCATTGGTATATATCAGGAATGAAGCTAATGAAGGTGTTAGTGAAAGGACGTCCATGCATCAGAAAGTTACTCCTCCTTTTCTGTAAAGACCCATGCGGTCTTTGTGATCCAGGTATTCTCTGATATGATGCATGTGGTGATGAGTAGAGCTAATATTTACCATCGAGAGAGAACCTGCTGCAGCTGGGAGACCTGGCAGACTGCCGTTGCCTGTGGTGCTCTCCACCAAGCCAGCTGGGCTGCAAAGGGCTCATGCACTGTGGGAACATGGTTTGCCACAGCATAGTCTTCACGCAGGATTTCCTGGAAGCCACCTTGTCTGGCAGGCGGGAGAGGCACAGCTTTCCTTTTTGAAGGCGTCAAGCTGCAACCCTACAGCATAGCGGGGCTGTGCCACCCGTTCTGTGCACATGCTCTCAGAGGTGGCGTGTGTCTGAGCATGCATGTAGGGAGCCTAAAGCTATCAGACTGTATTTTATTCTGTGCTCCTCAGCCTGATGCCTCTTTTCAGACAGTGTGCTATGCTAAAGACAAGGAGAAGACTTGGGGGTTTCTTTCTTTAGGAGTTCACTGCTCAACTCTATAAGGTTTCAGCTTTATCAGAAGCTCTGATTCACACCCTATAAGGCAACACAAGAAAGGTGTTGAACTGAGAGTAAAATTCACCACTTGTATTGTCACAACAGGCCATGATTACCACAGTCCTCTTTTCAAACCAGTAAAGTAGAAGTTCTGCACATGTTGGTAGACTAATATATGAGAAAACATATGTAGCATAAAAAGCTTGAGGGGAGAAATTTTGCCCGGGATGTGAAAAATGCTTCTTTTATGTCTTGAAAGCGTTGATCTTGGCCATTCTGGAATACCCAAGACCTAGCAGTAGATTGTTGTTCAGTGTTTATAATTGTGTATGTACTACCAGTTTATGTGCTGAATGTCATATGTTAAACACAACGTGAGGAGCAAGATTTTTATTATACAAAGCACTTCAAAATCTGCCATCACTGCTGTCAAGTTCTGCATCAATCCAGAGTCCAGGCTTTCTATGTAACTCTCAAATTGCTGTAGCACATTTTACTTGAAAATGGCTCAGTTGTCTGCTGGCTGATAACTTAAAAACTGTCAAATTATCACAACAATTTATTGTAATTTAAAGGAAAGTCACATCTGTGGGAGTGCTCCTTTTAAAATCTCTTGATATTCTCATTGTAAATTAACAGCCTGCATCTGCAGTGTGGTGCAAACCCAACTCTGTTTCCCATATGACAGAGAGGCTATTTCCTGTCAGTAGGCAATGTGGGGTATACTAAACATAGTGTTCGTTCTGTTTGTCTGTTAGTAAGTTGTCTCTGTGATGTCTGTGTTGTGCTGTTTTGGTACTATGTTATGCTGTGTCCCTAGGGTCTGCCAGGCTTCCCCACAGTCGCTGCTCTGCACAGTAATCAGATCCTCACCGTCAAGGTTTGTGGGTGTCACGTACCTGTTCAGTCAGGTCTCTCTGTATCAGCATAGAAGTGCACATGAAAAAATTGTTTTTACCACTGAATGCCAATGAATCCTCTTGGTGGACCTAAGTTAACCCTCACTGCCTTTGCACTGGTATAAGTACTCCTGATGCAGAGCATGGGATCATGCCTATAACTATGCGTAGTGTTAGCCCTGGAAACACCCACATTCCCCATTATCTCAATCAGTATTTTATTTTCAGATTATATTTTTCTGTAGTTCTGCTTCCCTGAGGCATACAGGAGTGTGGAAAATGTCAGTGAACTCCATACTGGTTACATGTAGAGTCAGCTATTTGTGTTAGATAGCAGAGGTTTAATCTGTACATACAGATTTTCTAAAAGCTGCATTTGCAAATTAAGCAGGAAGGATTGAGGCAATCTGGTCAAACTGGAACTTCAGCCCTTATTAAAATGACACCATTCTTCATGGCACAATATGCTGGTTAGAAAATCTGACTGAAAGTTGAACTGGTGCTTTGTCTCTAGAAGCTTTGCTGAAAGAACAACCTGCAAAAATGCTGATCTTCAGAGCCCGCGCAATGAAAAAATAATACATGTGAAGAATTATCACAGGAAATCTGAGGAGGAAAAAAGTTACTCAGTTAACTCGTTATATGTGATTAATTCATGGAGTGGTATGTTCTTTATATTTCTTCAAAAGAGAATGCACAGTTTCTGTGAGGCAGAAGCACCGGTTTATATTATTTTAGTTATTACAAATCTAATGAATATGTCTTTATTTCTTTCTCGGGCCTTCTGATGTCTATTCTTCAATTCTCTCATCTCTGATCTTCAACCTTTGACCTCACCTGCCTGATCAGATGGTGTTTCCTAAAATCAATCATGGGTTTCTCTCAGCTGATCAGCAGCTCATTAAACGCCGCCTCATTAAGGTAGTGCTTCGTCTTACTGGAGTCTGGTTCTTCTTTACATTCAGTTTACTCTTTGCTGTACCTTTTTGTCAGATGCCTTCTTATAGCAGGATGTTCATTTGCAAATGTTTTGGAATGAGGCAACAGTTAACGATATTAGCAATTAGAAGGCTATGGGTAGCTTTGCTAAATGGTCCATATTTAAGATGCAGTTGACTTTTTCCAGATTTTAGCAATGGTATGCTGGAAATGAAATAAGTACCATGTTTTGGTGTCTTTTTTTTTTTTTTTAAGGAGAAAGTAATATGTTTTGGCAACTCTCTTGGAAATTGGCTTTTACAAATTAATAAGGTAAATTAGAAGTAAAAGCCATTAAGAGAGTTAGCCAATAGTCGTTATAAAACAGCTCCTCAGAACAGATGAAAAATTATGTACAACTTAATGAAAAAGCAATTATTTTTCATGCTCATATTTGAAATCTATCCATGCATCATTGATGGGCTTGGAAAATTGCTATGCAAACTATATATTCTTACATGTGACTCTTCTTTTTTACCTCAGCTTTGTTATGGTTATGTGTATCATGAAGCAAACAGCTGCTTATTGAAAATGGTTACTTGTTCTGGAGAACTAGATGAGTAAAATGTTGCAAGGCTACCCCAAATTTTGGCATGTGCTGTGGTAGGACAAGCACTTTAGAATTTGAATGTTCTGCTCTGTAGCTGATTGCCTTGGAAAGATACAACCATCTGGTCTCCAAGGCAAATTCCAGCCTCTGCCATAAGCAGTAAAGAAGCCACTGTCCAACTCATGGCAGCTTCTTCCAGTCTGTCTTGTGATCTTTCTGGGTAAATCAATGTCTTTGTATGGTGGTTGGTGCCTATAAAGCAAACTTGTGATGAGTTTTATGTTGGTTTAGGGGGACCAAGGACAAGCTGGACCCCCTGGACCTCCAGGGCCACCAGGACCCAGAGGACCGCCAGGAGATACCGGCAAAGATGGTCCTCGTGGGATGCCAGGCTTACCGGTGAGTTACTCTGTGGCTGTCATGGTGTCCAAATGCCCCTCAAGTATATGCCAGCTCAGTTTCAAAGATGTTTTCTGAGGTAAGATTGACAAGGAAGTTATATGGAAGCTGAACCACAGACAGAGTTATGGTGTATCTGAGGTCTCCCACATAAAGTGCAAGTTCATTGCAGGGCCAAGAGTAACACCTAGGTTCCTTGCCTTGCTCTCCTGATAGTTTCCCCACACATTCTAAGGTTTCTGTGTTGCTCATTGGTGTAATGTAAGCATTGATAAATGCATGAGAAGGGTCTGCCCCTCCCAAAAGTAGTAAATATTTGTTCTCAGACTTCAAGATAAAGCTGAATTTGAGATGTTGTAGCATGGACAGGCCTGAATTCTCACTTCCTAATGACTTAGCCTCAAAAATAATGGAATTAAAGTAATAAATTGCTAAATGCTGCCCAAAGTATGATGAAGTTTAGAATCAGGTTCTGCCACCTTTACACAAGTATAAATACCATTTTCTTTGGCTCATTTCCTGATCATTAGAACAACCAGCAGAATCCATTGTTGCTGCTAATTGTTGGTTTAGGCACAGTATCTGACCTTCAGCCTTTGGCGCCTTGTAACTTGATGAGTAAACACTTTTTAAACAGATGCATCAATACATGGACTTTTTATTTTCTTTTTTTAAGCAAAATATGAGTATGTTTTTTGTTTTATATTTTGTAGGCTCTTTAATTTTCATTCTTTTGAAAGAAGTAACTCTCTTTTCATCATGAATGCCACTGTGTTATCAGTATGGAAATGGAATCACAGACAGGAAAGGGGCATGGCAACTGAAATACCACATGTACAGCTGCACACACACCCCTCCCAGTGATAAGTACAAACTATGGCTGAGAGGACACATAGGGAACTAGCAAGGTGAGGAACAGCACTGGAAATAGAAACAGATCTTTTTGAAGGAAAAGCATAGCTATTGTGTGGAGCTAGGACAGAAAGCATAAAATTTCCCTGCAGGGCCTTTTTAGGTAAAACCAAGAAAGAAAATACCTAACACTCCTGTTCTGGCGCTACTGAGGTTGCCTCATCTGAAACACTGTTAACTGTACAAATCAATATAACATGATGATCATAATAAGACCCTGCTAAAATTTCCTGTGAAAATCCAGCAAGGCTTGGCTATAAAGACCTACAGTGCTCTAGGGCTGCTGCTGTTGTTAATGTTGCTTTGTTTTGGTTTTTATCACTATTGCCCTTATAAGTTCTAGCTCAAGGTTATGAAATGACATTAAAAGCCTTTTGTTTCCATTGTTGAGCACCTACTCATTTCTTGTTCATCCTGCAGCACGTCAGGCTCTAAGGCCTAATCTCGGTCTCTGTTTTGTCCATTTAATGTGGTAAAATTGACTGCAGTCAGCAGAGTTGCTTCTGCTTTGATATAGTGAGGGTGAGAGTGAAACCAGAATGCATTTCTGACTGCAATGGTGCCATTTTTATAATTCAAGTACAAGAGGCTAGAATCAGCTGGCTTTGTTGATTACAACATGACTGTGTGTTGCTTGGGGTTTTGTGTTATTTTAGCAGAGGGTACATTAGTGTTTCTCATAACAGTTATGCATTTTATGCAATGAGGTCATTCCATTTTATAATAGTTCTGTAGTGATTTTGACTGTAGATGGCAAGAGAGAGTTTCTTTTTATAGGTTTTTAAGCTGTGGCTATCTTAAGCCCCATAGCATTATGGAAAATCAGTTCATAATACTGCTTTAGAATCAGATACAAACAAGCACTCAGATAGAAACCATCCAGATTGCTGACTGCTGTTACCATTCTGCTCCTTGCTATTGTCCTGTACCCTCAGGTTAGTGATCTTGATCCCCAGAAGGTGTTTTTTTCTCCATGGCTGTGTGGTGTGCAGTCAGCAGGAGAGCTGTAAAGCAAAGTTTAGCCAAGAGGTGGTGACAGCTTTGTATCTTTAGAAGGTTTGCATGGACCTTTGAGCTAAAGAGATGAACAACAAAATAGCTGCACTGTGTTATGCATAAGGACATTGCAGCACCACACAGCTGTAAGACGATGTCCTCACAGTGGTCAACCACCACCAGAAGGCAGTCATTTCCTCTTCTGCAGTGTTAGGCAAAGAAGGGATTTCTTTTCCAACCTGTCATTCTCAAGCAAGGAGCTTTACAATAACCAGAGATATAAGATGTACTTGGGCCTCCTGTTTTCCCCCATGCCCATGCACTTGCTATGTATCCTAAGAAAGTCATGCAGCCAAGATATCAAGGCACAGGGAGAAACCCCAGCAACCCCATTACTTCTCTTCCACAGTGTACCAGGGGAGAGGAGCAGCCTGTGTGCCCACGTCTCCATCTCTGTCATCACCACCTTGTATCCCAGAAGTGTACAACCTATTACGAATACTTAAAGCTTCTAGAGATGAGAAAGTGTTGGTTTCTTGGGCAGGAAATCTTGAGCTGAGGAGGTAGAAATGTTAGACATGCTGTTGGACCTATGGCCAGCAGAGAGCACCAAGGAAGGGGTGTTAGAAAGGGTTGCTCAGTCTTCTGCCTAAGCCTTTTTTTGGATGTCCACAGAAGATCCTGTTGGAACCAGAACATACTTGCCTTCTTACAGAGTAATACCTTTGCATCTCACAGACACCAGAACAAAGACTTTGAAACTTTAATGCCTCCAGAAAGAAATAAAAAAAGAACAAGTTTATTTTTTTCCTGTTAATAAGACAATAGAACATGATACAAGCTCTTGAAATTATTTCATCTTTATTTCTCTAAATTTATGGGGATATCTTGATGCTCACTTCAGGCTGTGTAATTGCTGTATCCAGAAGTTAGCAGTGTTTCAGAGAGAGCTGAAAAGCCCAACAAGCTTTGGTAATCAGCCGTCAGAAACCTGTGTATATCTGGTTTCTCCCTCTTGGGTATCTTAGTGTGTTTGAAGATGCTACATACCTTCTTCTGAATGCAATGCACACATAGAATCATAGAATCAGCTAGGTTGGAAAGGACCTTTAAGATCATCAAGTCCAACCATTACTCCAGGACTGCCAAGACCACCACTAAACCATGTCACTAAGTGCCTCGTCTACATGGCGTTGGAAAACTTCAGGGATGGTGATTCCACCACTTCCCCAGGCATCCTGTTCCAATGCCTGATAACCCTTTCTGGGAAGAAATTGCTCCCAATACCCAATATAAACCTCACCTGTCACTGCTTGAGGCCGTTACTTCTTGTCCTATTGCTTGTTACTTGGGAGAAGAAACTGACCCACTCCTCACTACAACCTCCTTTCAGGTAGTTGTAGAAAATGATAAGGTCCCCCCAGGAGCCTTCTCCAGACTAAACAACCCCTGGTTCCCTCAGCCATTCCTCATCACACTTGTGCTCCAGACCCTTCACCAGAGGAGCTATGCTGCTCTTCTCTGGACCCGCTCCTCAATGTCTCCCTTACAGTGAAGGGCCCAGAACTGAGCACAGGATTTGAGGTGCAACCCCACCAGTGACAAGTGCAGGGGTATGATCACTGCCCTGACCCTACTGGCCACACTATTGCTGATACAGACCAGGATGCTGTTGGCCTTCTTGGCTGTCTGGGCACAAGCTGGCTCATGTTCAGCCATCAGTCAGCACCCTCAAGTCCTTTGCAGCTGTCCATCCACTTTTCTCCAAGCCTGTAGGATTGCATGGGGTAACATAGTGTTGCACACGTACCCAGAGAAGCAGTTCTGGTTCTTTTTGGTTGTCAAGAACAACATCATAAGAACAGTTCTCATTGTTTATTTGACAGGTTTTATTTTATGACAAAGCTGCTAAATAAGATCCTGCAACTGTGCTGATACAACAGCATGTGGACTGCCCTATGCTGTATTGTGTTTACAAGGGAGTGATTTAAATGCAGGTCACTGAAATGATGAGGAATCCTATTTTTTGGATGGTTATTTTTAGCCCATATTGTACAGCTGGTATGTTTTACTGTCTTTATAGACAGCTGTATGTTTCATATGGAAGTAAGGAGAGAAAACAGAGTCTTACTTTATGTACAGTTGTGCCCACAGAAAAAGAATATGTTGGAAAAATGATGGGTTACAATTTTGAAAGCCAGTCCAGGTATTTAACACCTGAGTAATTATTGCATGGCTTCAAGATACCAATTTTTATGGGTTTATGGAACATGATAACTTGCAATGGTAATTTATGCCTGCCTATTAAGGTGATGGCACAAAGCACTCATTTTGGAATATGAAAACAGTGGGATTCAACACATGAAAATCAGCTTTCTCTGTGTCCTTTAGCGCCACTGACTGGAATGGAATATTATATTTGGAACTAAGAGACAGTCAGGACATCAATACTTAACTGTTGTGTCAAAAACTGTACAATTACTTGATTGTGAAATAGTACTTTACCTTTTAAAATGTCTGAGATTTGGCCTACCAGTTTAAAAATCAAAAAAGTAATATATGTAACGTACAGTCAGCTGCCACACATGTTTAAGAATGAATTTTTTAAGATACTTTTATTACGTAGAAAATTGAATTCTAGACATGTTACATGACAGGTTACTGAAATTATTCACTCTTTTTTTTTCTTTTTTTTATTTTAAGGGTGAGCCAGGAAAACCAGGAGAACAAGGATTAATAGTAAGTACTCCGCCAGTATGTAACAAATACATGACATGTATACTTTTTTAAAATGTGAAATTCCAAAAAGCTTTAGAGCTGTGTATTTCCTAACCTTCCTTTGTCACAGACTATTTGAAGCCTCATTTGCGAAGAAAACATGAGAAGGACAACCTGCTCTTTTTACATACAGTTGCCTGTCATATAAGGCCATCTTCTTTAAGCTTGTAGTAGAGGGAAATGAAACAGCTAAGGGCAAACAGCAAAGCAAAAAAGTCAAGCCAGGTGTTCCCAGTTCCTGGCCCCCACTTATCACTGTCTCTGAAATTGAGCTGTTTCTACCTTGAGAGCATTGAGCAGCACAAGAACCATCTACTTGTTTTAAGGGCCAAAATCCCAGCTGTCTCTGTGGCAATAGCTCTTGGCTCTTTGCCTGAGGGAACAGTGAAGACACAGCACAGCACTCTAAAACTCTCAGAAGAATGTTCTCCTCTGCTGAGGTTTTGGTTTTTCCCTCTGTGTGTGTGAGAATGTGAAAGAAAACTGAATGCATTTTTTACAAATATTCAGATATGGCAGTAAATGTTTTCTGTTGCATCAGGAACTAATTAACCCTATTCATTTGGAAGCAAATTGAAGTTCCAGTGGTTGTAAATCAGCCTCAGCCACAGGGCAAGGCATGAGAAGTTTCTGCCTGTAACATATTCTCAGAACTCTGAAACATGCAGTGGTTCTTTTCCCTTAAGATCCCCCTAAACACTTATGGTCATTCTTATTTTTATGAGAGATGACAGTACTGTAGCCTGTGGCATGTGGTTTTGATTCCTGAATGCTTCTGAGGAGGAAGATTATATGCTCTGCAATCACTGCAGAGATGATTGCTATCTGTTTGTATCCATGAAGTTTTAAACAGGTGTGATGATCTTTAACCTTGACAAATTGCAAAACATTTTGAATTAACAAAATCCAATATCTTGTGGAAGAAAAAAAAAAAAAAAGATTCTGAGACTCAGAAATACCTGCTGTGATCAGGAAGTTAAAGTCTTTGACTTTTTCATTTCAAGATAATGGTTTAACAAAACCATTCTAGGTTAATTCTGCAGGAAGTCTTTTGTAAGAACTTGCCTTTGTTTCACACCAAGAATCTGAAGTCTGAGTTACTTTCCTATTTCTTCTTCCTGATGAAATTGAAACTGTGAAGCTGATGGGTCCCATAGAGTACTACCGGTCCTGGTGTCCAGTGGGTCCACTTATTGGTGTGTACTGTGGTTTCCTACTTGACCACATGTCCAATGCCCTTTCCAGTAAGAAGCAAGCATTGTGGCATGTATTCTGGTTCTTTGTCCGAGATGGAGGCAAGATACAGCCAAGAAGAGCACCAGATGCTGCAAAACAATCCCTACAATTTGGATATACTTGCTGAAGGTTGTGGAAACTGAAGGCTACTTGTAGCCTACAGGATCACACTCTCCACAGCTTTAAGTTCCATGATGCTGTTCAAGTGAAGAAGAGCTGCAAGCCCGACCTCAAGATTGTAATAATGAGGATAAAAACTTATTAATGAAATATCTCTAGCACTTATATTTGGTAATGATTCTCGGTATTTCTAGGTGAATGTACAGGTTATTGATAGAACTTGTGAACCAACAATGGCACAGCTTGAAATTGCTTAGTCTTCTATTTTCTCTTTTTACAAGAAGTGGATACATTTCTTGAAGAGCACAAGGTAGTAGATAATGAGAAAGCAGTGTTTTCCAGCTTGTGTCTCAGAATGTACCACAAGCTTATTACACATGTTGAGTAATTTGTGACCTACTCAAACAATGTGTGCCTTGATTCACAAAAAGCGAAAATCATTTAAATACATTTGGAGTTCTGGGAATGTTCATGTTTTCCATCCAGTGACATAGGAAAACCAGTGGCTCTAGTGAAGGCAAAGATATGACAATTTTCTCCAAAGGGAAATTTGCTGCCATGTTCTCTGTTTTTAATGAAGTTCTTTGTCAATAAAGAAAAAGAAGATAGTGTTTCGGATGGTGTTGAGAGGACAGTAATAACTTTTCTTACTCTCAAGCAGAAGTTTACTTGGACCATATACAAAGAATAATAATGAGTTCTCTGGTGTGAATCCTGCTTTGGCACAAGAGAGCTCAGACTGTTTTAGGTGCACTGGGGAAATTTGCCTTGAAGACAGGGAATAGCTTTTCTTCTTCCCGATTTCCAACATAAGTGCGTGTGTGGGTTGGGACAGGGTAGTGGGAAGAAAGGTTTAGGAAAGCTAGTTGTTGCTTACAGGGGTCTCTTGTTCCCACTTGAAAATCTTTCCAGATTGTTGGAGTGGGCTTCTATTGCTCTTCTATCCTTGCAGTCAAGACGTTTGCAAGGAGGTTTTGGCTCTATATATTGCTAATTCAGGAAGAATCTGTTTTCTCTTTGAGCCACGAGAGTTCAAGTTCTTTTTAGGTGAGATGGAGGCTTAGGTTTAAGTTTAAAAAGTATTGACTATATGCATCTTTAATGTTATAAAAGAATGTAAGAATGATGAGTTAGTTGTAATTTGTGTCTGATTTCCACGGCACTGGAAAGCCCTGCAGATCTACTTTCTGCAAGAGCTGAAGGTATCGTTCCTCTGTGCAGATAGGATTAAGAGAATTCAGAGGCAGGCCAAGTAGTGGGGTGACCAAAGGGATTAAGTTTTGAAATGTTATGTGGAACCAGCAAAATGTGTTTTATGCAAGAGAGAAGGCCAGCAATTTCCTTAGCTTTTCAGACTTTTCAGTTAAAGTTGTGTTCTGCCTCTCATAATTCATCCTTCTTCCCATGCTATTTGTCTGCTATTCCTCATTATATGCTCTCTTAAATGCCATACACATTTTCCTGTTTTATTTTCTCATTTTCAGAATTAATCATTAATGAATTTATGACTCTTTTCTACCCAAGAGCTAGGATTTCTGGTTGTAGACTATTCATGAGAACTTAAAGTGAGTCAGTGATGGGAAATCTCCAGGGCTGACACTGATAATCTGCATTTTCAGATTCATAAGTTGAAACAGTATAGAAGGTGTGCATGCGGTAATTTTGTTTCTAATTTTCATATGGGAGAGTTTTGGATGCTTTTATATATAAAGTATTTTAAACTAGTGTGTAGTCATAAAAAATTGGAAGATCAAAATTTGCAGTGTTTTCAGCTTCTTGGAAAAGAAGTCAATTTGAACACGTTCAGTGTATGAATCAACCATTTCTTGTCACTTAAAAAACCCCACATATTATTTTATCCTCCAAAATTGGCTGTAAAGACAGGTAAGTAATTTTACAGATGTTTTGCATGAACAGAACACTCCAGAATAACCAGAGAAGTCAGGTAAAGGTGTCTCTTTGCAAAAAATATCTGTACTGTAATGATCAATCCAAATGTAGAGTCCCTCTGCTTTAAAATATAGTTTTCCAAACTAGTAGTTATGTGCCTATACAGTCTTGCTGGGCATCTGTTCAAGAAAATAAGACTTAATGTTACTGCTTTTGCTAGTTATTCAGAACAAAGAGGATGTTATTCCAAAGCGTATTGCTATTTCTGTGAAAGACAGTGGAAACCTTGAAGTTAAGTCTGCAAAATGTCACATCTTTAAAATTAATTAAGGTTAATTTTTCACCTTAGGTTAAAGTAAATAAAACGGACACATAAGGATCAGGCAGAGCTGACTGGGAAGTGCTGCTAAGTTCAATTCAACCTTTTAGGCCAATGGCCAAGACCAGATGCTCAGCTGGTGTGAATCTTCATAGCTTCTCCAGTAACCTACTAATTGTGGTTTTGTTTTCAATGGCCAGAGTTCTCCGGCAGCCTTCTTTGTTTCATTCTGGTAGCATATTCATGGCAAGTTTTATGAGGTGGTGTTCTTATGCTGTTTAGCTGCAAAAGCTTACTAGGAACTAGCAGATGAAATGGAAATTCTCAGCCTGTGCCTGCCACAGAAACTATTCATTTTTTCCCCAATACAATTGCATTGGCCTTGACTTGCAGGAAGTCTCAGGAGCAGTAGTCTTTGCCGTTTTGTAACTTCTGTACTTCAGTAATGGCTGCCACAACAATGACTAAGGCAGTGATAATAAAAAGCTCTGCCTGATCACTAATTAGTACTTACTGCTGCTCTTTTCATCAGTTGGGGTAGATAGCATAGGGGGACACTACTTAATCACAAGTTATGTGAGATTTCCCATTATAGTTAATCTGTTTTCTTAGCTGGTCATTCTTTTATCTAGGTGATTTATCAATACTAAAGCACTGCACATTTCAATACTTCTACTCTAGACATTGCAGTCTATATGAAACACGCCTCAACCGTGCAGGAACACATTTCCAGAATTACATCACATGCTTCCTACACACAGAAAATGGGATCAGTGTGTAGTGCAGGCTCTGCTGAAATGCACATGAATACTTTGTATGAAACCTGTGCTTTCCTTTTCATGTACATCTACTAGTTCAGGTTTCCTTCTTGAGTTCTTTATGCCTTTAAACTGGTAAGAAATCAGTCTGTGGGAATAAGGAAGTGATTGTCCTCCTGTACTCAGCACTGGTGAGACTGCATCTCAAATACTGTTTTCATTTTTGGGCCCCTCACTACAAGAAAGACATTGAGGTGCTGGAACATGTCCAAAGGAGAGCAACAAAGCTAGTGAAAGGTCTAGAGAACCAGTTCTGTGAGGAGCAGCTCAGTGAAGTGGGGTTGTTCAGTCTGGAGAAAAGGAGGCTCAGACATTATTGCCCTCTACAACTACCTGAAAGGAGCATGGAGTGAGGTGGGGGTCTGTCTCTTCTCCCATGTAAGAAGCGTTAGGACAAGAGGGAATTTCCTCAAGCTGCACCTGGGAAATTTAGATTAGATATTAGGAAAAATTCCTTCTCAGAATAGGGTTGTCAGGCACTGGAACAGGCTGCCCAGGGAAGTGGAGGAGTCACCATACCTAGAAGTATTTAAAAGATGTGTAGATGCAGTGCTTAGAGACACAATTTAGTAGCAGACTTGGCAGTGTAAGGTTAATGGTTGGACTTGATGATCTTAAAGGTCTTTTCCAATCTAAACGATTCTATTTTAAGTGTTTAAGGATTGTTATCGGCACCAAAGGGGAAATATGTTATCTCAGTGAGTCTTGAAACTTATTTTGTCCCACAGGAATAAAGACACAATACCTCCTAGAGGCCTTCTCATTACAAAGAGCTTTTACTTTACATAGGAAATATGGAAGTTTAAAAGAAAAACAGGATTTTTTTTTCCCCCAAAGCTTTGGAATAAGAGCTCTTTTGTATGAGTGTATTGCACCATTATGACATATTTTGCTATATAAGTTTTTCAGTGTAAAAAAAAAGAAAATAATTTTTTCATTTTATTTTTGTTAGACATTTTCATTTGGTGCTTGTTCTTACTGTCCATGAACTCTGATACCTTGTAAAACAAATCCTTACTGATGCCTCAGACCTGCAAATTGAAAATACCCAAACATACATATCGTTAAGTGTTTAGCTACTGAGTCACTGAAGTTGAATACAGAACACCTCAAGAGGTTATTGCTAATGTATCACACCCTGAATGTGTGTGCTTTGAAACTGCAGCTTTAACCTTTACAGAGCAGAATTAGTTCTTGTTTTGCAGCTTGCTAAAGCACAAGGAACAGAATAAGCTTAAGAGGAAAATACAACTGTAACATTAGGAGGGAAATCTAGGAAGAATTCTGGACTCAGAACATTTGTTCTAACTACATTTAGGTCAGATTTTTCAGGTTGGTTGGTTGTTTTTTGAGTTGGTTTTTTTTTTTAGTAACAAAAAGGCTCAAGAGGCAATCTCAATTCCTGCGACATAAAAGTAGCAGGTTTAAACTATGAAGGTAGACTTCAGCTGGTCAGTCTGGCCTATATCCCCAGAATAGAACTGGTTAATATATGAAAGTTCATCAGGTAACTGATGCCCAGAACATAAATGTTTGGAGGTTATTTTAATAGTAGTGATGTAGGAAAGCTCTAGTTTGAGCATTAATCCTTAGGGGTTTTTCAAGATGTTAGCTAAACTTGCACCTTTCTCACAGAACAGGATGATTTCTGGTTCATCATCACCATGATGTCAGGCATTGGAAGAAACTTCCTTCTCTTGAAGAAGAGGAAAAAAAATGTATTTGTGGAGCATGTTGTTTTATCCATGGTTCCTTACCCAGCAGGCCACTCTTACTTGCCAGCATCCTCTTGATTTGTGTATCTCATTTTTAATCTATTTCAGTTTTCTTGGAGACTTTTTGCAAGCAATGTTTAAGAAATAGATTGTTCTTCATTGCAGTACTACTGGTGTCCTCAGCTTCCAGCAAATCTAAGGATTAGAATTCAGGTACTTACTGAAAAGATGACCTGATTTAAATAGCAGGTTTTTTGAAAATGCAGTGAGCTAGGGGCATTTTTCTCTAGTCTAAAAAAGCAGATGTTTACTTGTTGTTCTGATCACCACCAGTAAATTTTCAAGAAGCGACACTCATCTATGTTGCTACAAGTTTTGATGCATAGCTGGTGTAAGAATCCACATTTAAAAAGACAGGTGTTTCAACCACATCAGTAGATCCAGGACCCAGAATTACGACCACTGGAGCTTTTCCATTTTAGCAGTTTAAACTTCTATCAGAGCAGTGTTCCAACAAGCCATGCATCTACCAGCAGGGCAGGATTCCACTTAATTTCAAACTACATTAAGAATAAAATTGGCCATGCATTTTGAAGCAGAAATACTTTTTTTTTTCTTTTTTTAATATTTGCAGTTCTGATATCAATTGTTCTTTTATTCTTTCATACATCAGAAAGATTTGGATTCTTCAAGTTTTGGTTTTTGGTTTGCACCTTTGTGGACTGCACCTTCATGAATTCACCTTGCTTTGTATAGCACCAGCACCCACAGATTGCACCAGCATCCGTAGTAGGAACATGGGGAAGAATGTGTAAGAACTGTGATGGACATGGTCTGGCTCTTACCAAAAAAGACTGTGAAAATGTCAAAGACATGGTTGGCTAATCTATTTCCCTCCTGTTTCCACTCTCCACTGTGCCCACAACCAACCTGGGTACTTCAGAGAAGCCAAATGAGAAATGGGTCCTATTAATATCAATGAGACTTTGATGCCTGTATGACATTAAGCAGTTAAGCTTTCCTGAATTGAGATATCTCTTCCTGCCTTCCAAAGTCATGGTGATTCTTTACTCCCCAGGTGCATTCGTAATGATTTCTGAAGTTAATTCTTAATTATTTTTCTCTTAACTTGCAAATGATGGCAAAGATCATGTGTTGGGTAAAAAACAGTAATGCATGCTGATACCTAGAAAGTGAGATTATGAGGTTTATGCTTCTTTCTATCTTCAAAATAAACTTTTTGCATAAACTTTGTTTTTATGCTGCTGGACAGATTTATTACTGTGGATGCACAGCTGGCTGTTAGCTGGTATCAGATAGAGAAAAACCACTGTCACCTTAATGCTGACAGACTTGTCAGTACTAGAAGAAACAGATGGGTTGGAAGAGAAAAAATTAGAAGGGGAAAATTTGAGTCTTACAGTTAGTAGTTAGATCAGTTCCAAAAGAGAAAAGATCCATTGTGCATTTTGAGCATAAAGTTTTACTTTTCCTTGATGTATAAAACATCAGCCGGTTTCAGTCCAGTATCAGAATGCTTACACAATAAGACAGTTTTAATTGGTCATTTCAGTTTAAATTGGCTAGAGTTATGATTTTAATTGAATTGTTTTCCCTTTGCAGGGACCTCAGGGGCCTCCAGGACAAAAGGTATAGTATAAACAACAATCCTGTGAAAGTGATTATTCCTGCTGGTGCCAAATTGCAAGCAGAAAAGGTGAATAGAATTAGCTACTGTACACTGCATTGAATCAGTTAGTTTAGGCTCTGAATTTTGTTTTTGCAAAATGCTGCCATATAACGTGATTTCTCATTTCCCCCAGCGTAGCAAGTCCAAGCAATGCAGAGCAGACCGTTTTCAATCTATCTACTTAACTTTCAGGTGAAAAGGTGGCTATAGTTTTCTTATTTGTGCACTGGTACAACTAGGAAACCAATGTTAAAATGTTGTGAACGGTGGGGAGATAGAGTTTCTGATTAAATGCATGCCCTTACTCAAGTAGATCAGTGCCATATGACTAAAGAATTGACCACCAGAAACAAAGGACATAGGTGTTGCTGATAAATGGGGCTTGGCTGATGGTGTTCAGGTGGTCTGCCAGTATCTTCCTGTTCCTTCAGTAACCTGAGACCTGACTTCCTAGGAATGCTGTCAGCATTATTTACACTCATTAAACCTGACTGCCTCAGTTTGATGTAGTGAGTTTAGGATTTATGGAATTACACCATTAAAACAGTCCTAGATATATCAGCAATAACACCTAGTAAGTGCCACTTTTCCAGCATCTCACCCACACACCACCAAGGCAAGTAATTTTCTAGTTGATTTCAAAAGATTAATAAATTGTATGGAAGATATTTAATAAAACAGGCTTGAAATGTATAAAGAATAAAAAAGAAAGAGGAAATGAATAAGTAGTATTAACACATGTAAGAAGGATTCCACCTCTTTCTTCTTCTAAGGTAATGTTCTTTAAGGTGAAGATTTGTTTGCATCTGTTCAAATGGAACTTTTTGAACAAAATAAAGAAAACCTCACTGATATGTAAAAATGTAATCCCAAAACATATAAATTCATGGAAAGCATATAAATTTGTGGAAATTTGTCAGCTGTGGGCTGTGCAGAACTTGCAGGCTGAAGGAGAGGACTACCCTTCATGTTTCACAATGCAGGAATACGGCATTTTAAACTGTGCTGATTTCTAAGTTGCCATTTAATATTATGCTATCAGATTCTAGGAGGAGGGTATTTCACATGTACAGCATCAGCAAAACTCATCTGCTGATTAGGTTTTGAATATCTGATAACTTGCCAGAATCAGCTTTATTTACACTCCCTAACATCCTATGTCTCATAAGAAAAATCAACAGCTATAAAATACTGTCACAGAGAGCAGGAACTGTTATAAATATGATAGTTTATTGAGGCTGCTGGTTAATGCCCTCCTGAACTTTGTCTTCTAGTTCTCTGAAAAAGTTACAGAAAGATGTGGAAATGTCCGCTAGGAACCCTTGGTAGTCATGACCATGCATCCAGCAAAAAGAGGCAACACAAATGCTAAAATGGAAGCTTTGGCAGTAACGGGAGAGCATTCTGGGTCATGGAGATGCAGTGGGATGCCACAGTATTATTTCTTACTGATTTATAGCTCTGTTATGAGCTGGAGCCCCTTGGGCATTCAAATGTTGGAGTTTTTTCAAGACCCTCATGAGTTGCTTCTTTTTCTTTTTTTCTCAGGATTTCTCAACTCTATTCATTGGCAAACATGTGCATCCATTCTGGGTACATGCTTCTGGGTGTTGGTGCCCTTTGACTAATCCATTTCTAGTGAAACCTCCAACCAATATGAATAGACGGGGAAATGTCACGCACTGATTTTTTTTGGGATAAAATAAAAAAGAAATAAAGCAGGGCATAAAGGGATTCACAGGGTGCTTATTTGTCTTAAGGTTCTCATGAAACTGCACACTTCACTGTTGACAGAGCCTACGCTTTTCCCAGTCCCCTGTTCTCTTTTTAGGCTGCCAGCCTTTCAAATACAGCTATCACACTTTTGTATCCTATTAAGTTGTTTATAAATGAAAAATAATGCTCTCAGTTTCCTTGCTGAGCATCACCATTATTATACAACAAGAGGATAATGTTGGATAAGCACACATAGTGTTCCTGCTTTCTTCATGCCTCCGGTTTTCAATGAACACCCGTAACAAGTCACACAAGTTCCTTCAGAAAAATTGTCCACCATGTAGAAACTTCTAGTGTGATTGCTTTGTTAAAAGATCCCTCAGATGTTACAAGTCCGTATTAATCTTTCCTCTTTGCTCCTTGTGTTGGCTTTTAAATTTTTATTGCAATAATACTGATGTGATTTAAAAGGGTATCTTGCACTGTCTTGTTGCAGATCATCTCTTAAAAGCCTTAAGCTAGATTGGCGCTACCAGTTATTGAGCTTGAAACGTCTGTCTTGAAGCATGAATAATTTTGTTCAGGTGGTATGTTTGTTTGTGTAGGATCAGTCTCAAAATTTATCAAAAGCATTAAATAGAATTGCATTTTAATTCTTACATTTCTTGTGAAGCATCCACAAGGTCACAGAGCTTGAAGCTTGTTTCTGAAAGAGGCCAGAGAGTGAGACAGTCGCTAAAATGTGCAGCATGAGAACATGCATAATTGGTATAAGATTTCAAATTAAAAGAGAGCTCAGCTTGGGTAAATATTAGTTTTGGAATAATTTATTGCAGTTACAATAATCAAGCATTCAGCATTATTTCTAAGCACTGTATTAAGAGGTGAAAGGTTTCATGACCTGTTTAATTTGCTAAAGGCTGGTGTCTGTTTCCCACCAGGGTTCTGTCGGAGTGCCTGGTGTTCCAGGGAGAGACGGACAAGTGGTGAGTTTGCTGACTTTGTCAGCACTGCAGTTATTTATATAGTTGATTAAAGATACTTAGGGCTTGTTCACATGAGCAATATGCAGCCTTGCATCCAGACCTGTGGTTTCAAATTGGCTTAATAGAAAAGACTCTACAATCTGATTTGTGCTCTAATTTTTTCTAGTTATACTTAAACAGTATCTTTACTTAGTTTTTTCTGCAGATTATTTTTTTTATTTTTTAACTCAGTACCTGATGCAAACACGCTGTTATTGGATATTTATACAGTGCTAGTATATTGTTAATACAATCGGTTAATACAACCAACAAATAGAGAATAAAGACACACTGGAAACGTGGAGAATGATGCAAATTGAAGTTGGAGATGAAAATGCAGAGAAATAAATCAAGCAGAAATATTCTTGAATGCAACTGGGATGAAATGCTAACTCAGGCATGTCAGTGTCATCTTTCAGTGCCAACACCAAGTTAACTCACAGTTCAAAACAGCCCTCCATAAGGAGGGGTTGCAGTAAAGCGGCAGGGCTGTTTCATGGCATTGCTAAGGTTTGTTAGCAAATCTGAAGGGTGATGTTTAAATAATATCACTCTCTGAAAGTAAACAATATTATCCTTGTTGTTCTCACAAGGACTATCATTCCTAGTGAACTTGAAAAGCACTAGCAGGGAATGCCAAAAGGAAAATTTATGATATAAACACGGTTGTTTACTGTGTTCAAGCAGCAATAGGTAGAAGTGTATAAGGTTCACATCATGCCATCTCCCCAAAAGCCCTAGGAATAAATGTGCTAGGATGTTTCAAATAATTTTTAATTTCTGTTTCCTAACAAAAAGGATGTATTGTTTCTAATAGCATAATGTACAGTATTAGACCTGTGTTTTGACAATGGCTGTAAGAAATGATGTAGTAATCATTTATTTTCACTTTAGTGATAGTAAAAGTGCTAGGAATCTATTTTTTAAATGTTCAGAGTATTATGACTACTGTGGAATGACAAAACAAAACAAAAAAATAGAATTAGCTATATATAGCATACCAGTGATTATAAGAAAATATTATATAAAAAAAATTCATTATTTTCCTTCATGTTTTATAGCCACATTCAATTGCAACAAAATGGTAGACAGTAGTTACCAACACAGATGCTGTTGCTGTACATAATTCAAGTAAATTTTGTGACCAAAGTATGTGTGAAAAGCCAGTGAAGACACATTTTGTAGCATAATTTCCTTTAGACCTGCAGGAAAACTGGACAGGGTGAAGCTGCAAACCATGCTGAATAGAACAGAACTGATGATTCACATTTTATCCAAGAGCTTTGCTTTTAATAGTGTTGTCACCCAAGCTCTACCAGAAATCTTCATTGAGATCGGCACAAAAAAATGGTGTTCATGAATCAAATGTGTCAAATGCACAAAAAATATCTGATTATTAAAGTGTCATGCTTGGGGATGTAGAAATTTTTTAAGCTCTACTAGCAAGGTTGTTGTATGTCTGGTTTTAGGACACCACATAAACTTACCTGGATCGTGTCTCATGGGGAAGAAAATAAATATGCAGTTGCCTTTGATTAAGGGAAAATGCAAACATCTTTAAATGCTGTTTATCAAAGCATTCATATACACACTTGATTTTAAGCACCTGCTTAATGCTCACTGCCTTTTAAACTAAGAAAATGGTGCTTTTAAAACAGGTCCTAACATTTTCAATTTGTTGTGTAATGTTTATTTGATTTAGTTCAATATTTACAGGATCTAAAACTTTTAAGACATTCTTAAATTATTATGTTAATAAAGATGTCAGTGTATTTTTAATGTAGTTGGACTTTTTTACTTTTGACCTGTAAGAAAAAAACCATATTAATTACTAAACTAAGATCTAGATACTAGAAAAAAAACCCATACAGATAAAAATGAAATGCGGTCACATTCTTTTGTTTACTTTCACAATTGTTGGTTGATATTGGCTAGCAAGTACTTCCTTATGTGCAGAAAATATTGCTTTCATATAATACTAAGCTGATGAAAAATGAATGTTGCTGTCTCTTAATAAATATCTAACAAATTCTGCTAGCTTGGAAATAGTGTTAGAAATAAAGTTAAACTGAAGCAGTATGTATCTAAAGTTAGAAAGTACAGTGCAGCCTAGGACTCCCATACTACCAAAAGGTCTTTTCTTCTAATTTATATGAAAAAAACACATTCTCAGTGTAGTGTGACACAGAAGATATTGTCAAATGAAGACCAGAGCAGTAATTTTAAGCTTTGCTCTGTACTAAGAGCTGGCTGCTGGCACTCCTGGCTTTACTCATACAGATTCATGTTGATCTGCAGAATAGTTGAATTTGACTTGAATGTGTGATGCAAATCATCCCCTTTTTAGAAGTTATGTAGTTAAAAGGCTTTACAAAAGCCTTACTGTCTTGGTAGCCTTTTAACCAGTGAGCTCACTCCGTGAAAAAGCAGCATGTGCAGTGTACTAAGTTCCAAGTTAATATTTTTTCTTAGTTTAAAGGGCAGTGAGTGTTTAGCACATGCTTAAAATTAAGTGTGTGTGAATGCTTTCCTCATATGGACAATGAAATATTTTTCTGCTGATGAATGTCAGCAGTGAATTAGATTTGATCTCTCCTTAAGCAGTTGAATAATAGAGTTAGGTCATCTCCATCTCACACATGTCTCTCTACTTTTCTTTTTCCTTTCCCTTTACCTTTTCTTTAATTGAAATAGTGGATTGTGGGAGATGATTGACAACTCTGACCAATGGGCCTGGGAATGAGATCATAAATTCTGAGTGCATTTAGAACGTTTTTCTAATCCCTGAACATATGAACCACTTCTCTTAGACAATCTTTAGATATTAGAGTAAGTGTAAATTTACACAACCCACATGTTTTTGCAGGACTGTGAACTAGCAGATTTTTCTTGTATTAAGAGTAGTAGCAAAATCATTGCCATGAAAACTTCACACTTTTTTTCTTTTAGGCTAAATCCAATGAAACACTACAGGTAATCCTGCGGGGGCATTACAGTATGAGTTTGTTCTTACATTTGGGAAACTATAGCCACACTCTGCTTTTCTTGTTGAGAACAGTAACTGGAAAGGAGCTGCAGCTAGAGAGTGTGTTGTCGTGGGATGGATAGAAACCTTCTGAGATAGCAAGGAGAGTCCTTTTGAGTGCTCCCTCTCCTTTGCAGACTGTTGTGCAATCCACCTGTGGCAGGTTGCTTCCTAGCAAGATGCTACGGGAAATAACCTCCTCTTTCTCAATCCCTGTCAAGAGGTCTTCAGGCACTCAGATTGTATGAAAAAAGATTATATTTACATAGAGATGCAAGGTTGCAGTGCTCTAGGGATATCAGAACTCTACATTAATCATGTTGAAATGGCCACAAAGGGGTTCTTGGAAAGTTGACTGTGCAAGTATAGGACACATATCCTGGTATTTCTTAAGTGATATTGATTTGATAAGGACTTCCAATGACTGCAGCAACAGCACAAGGAGGAAAGAGAAGGTTCCTTAAGTAAGGATTGCATTTTGCCTGAAGGAACCCAGTTTCTGGAGTCTGTGCATCTAATTCTCTTTGTTTTAAACAGGAGCTTGTCTGGAGTGCATAAACACCTCACTGTATACTTTCATGAAATGCTTTTTCCTATGCCGTGCTTGATATTTGGTGTGGGGAGTGGGGTGTAAGAGTCTATTGAGAGAAGAATGTGTGGTGGGGAGATAGATACCTTTATTTCAAATTGTTTCAGAAGTTTGACAATATCAATTTGATAAACCTCGGAATTTCCCTTCTTATCATTAGACTTACTGATAAGACTTACCCAGGAATCTGGGTATGCACATTCCTTACTGCTTTCTTCATGCTTCTTATTACTCTAATTACATGTATTTCCTGATTAGTGTGTATTGTACTATGTAGGGGAGACATTGTGAAAGTAGTACTATCATATTTCTTTAGAGAAATGAGGACGGGCACATGCGTACTAACATTTTTTCAATAAAGTATCAGGGAAGGAAACATCATTAAATATAGTTCACAAATTCTCAGACAGGTTTGCAGGCCAGCTGAATCTTGTTGAATAGTTTTTCCACCTAATTTCATCTGGTGAGTGGTCCAGGAGAGATTTCCAGTCCTTAAACAAACAACTTTAAGTTACTTTTGAGGGAGTGAAAAGTAAATTGAAGGGAGGTAATTCAACCCTGGTTTGAAATTGAAATCACAGTAACGTCTGAGAAACCACTTTTTTTCCCTTCTGTCCTCGTTTATGTATTTTAGAGTAAAATTAGACTGGATTAGGTTTGGGGGCCTCATGTATTTCCTTATCCTTAAAATTGATTACATTCTACTGACTGAAAAATATAGCAATACTGACAGCCTTTCTTCTGAGGGTGAGGTGGATATCAAGCAGCTGGTGTAGACAGAGTTATGCATCCCACCAAAACCAAGCCTATTTCAGATCAGCAGCCTCCAGGCTGTTTTCCTGTTACAAACAAGAAAAGCTGGGGCCTCCAGCCACATTATTTTTAGCTGATTAATTCTGGATATGAAGGTATATGCCTTCAGGGCACAGAGCCCTCCAGTAAGGACAAGCATGCTTTCAACTGCCTTGACTCCTTTGATATGGACTCTAGTGGGTGCTACATTTTCAGACATGTTCTGAAGGAGGTCTTATGAGTTTGTATTGACAGATTTTTCTCATATTAGCAGCAAAGCCCAAGCAGTGCCCTACACATCTGAGCACTCAGCAAATTCAGATTCATTTTAATGTAAACATTAATACTGTCCCTTCCACTAGAGTATCTGTGGAAATTACAGCTATTTATTGGGTACGGTGCTGAAGGATGTTCTTTGCCCAAATAGAATAAAGAGAGAGTACAACAACGTTAACACAGTTAAACAGTTAATATAGGCTCGAGAGTGCTAGGACTTATTAAACTAAGGTGTTCTGGGGTGCTATCCAAAGGAATATCCTTTTGGTTATTCTTTGAATTATCTGAAACTCCTGAATTGAATGGCTGGGTTGGGTGTATTCTTGGCATGTTGGCATTTGTTTGGCCTCAAAATTGATACTAATTGGAAGAAAAATACAAACATTTCTGAGACTACACAGGCAGGAAGGTTTTAGATCATGTTTGCTTAGGGATTCCAGTCCCTCTCTCCCTGAGTGATAATTTCTCAGGAGTTCATGACTGCAGAATGGCAAGCTATGACCTAAAATCAGATGCATTATGGATAAAGTTACTTTTTTAAATAGCAAAACAAAAAAAAAACCATCATTCATGAGATCATTTTTGGAGTTCTGTCTCCAGCTGTGGGCTCCTCAGTACAAGAGACACATGGATATACTGGAGAGTCCAACAAAGGGCCTTGAAGATGGGCAAGGGAGTGGAGCATCTCTCCTATGAGGAAAGGCTGAGATTGATGAGGGAGTTCAGGCTCGGGAGGGAATATTATCATTGTGGACAAATGCCTAAATGGAAAGTGCAAAGATGCTGGGCCAAGTGCTTTTCAGTGGTGCCCAGTGGCAGGACCTGAGGCAGTGGGCACAAACTGAAACACAGGAGGTTCTTGCTGGTTTAGTACAGCAAGAAAAACTTTTTTTTACTGTGAGAGTGACTGAGTACTGGCACAGGTTGCCCAGGGTGCCTGTAGAGTCTCTTCCAAGATCTATTTAAAAGAAGCCATCTGGACATGGTCCAGGGGATGCAGGTCTAGGTGACCTTGCTTGAGCAGAGAGAGCTAAACCAGATGATTCCCAGGGGTGACTTCCTATCTCAACCATTCTGTCATTCTGTGAAAGAACAAAAAAACTAAAAAAACAAAACAAAAAAAAAACCCCAAAGCTGTCTCAATTTGAAAGGTAGATGATGTGCAGAAGATAACTGTTTCTGCAGCCTAACACCTTTGCTGTCAGTGCTAAAACAGAGGGACTGCAATATGGGTCAGGAAAGACATTACCCATGGCCTGGTGAATGTAAAAATCTAGTTTTATAACTCCTGTCATTTTACTAAGCTGAATAGCAGTCTGATTGAAAGTATTGCATCAGATGACATTGTTGAATGTCTAGTTTTCCTTTGTCTGCATCTCTCCTAGAACAATAGTGTAACAGTCTTTAACCTTTTAAGGGGCAGCTATACCTTTTGTTCTTCTCCAAACATGAGATGAAGCATGTGGGGCTGATGCATACTCATACAGGATTTCGCACTCCAGTTTTAATATATCCTTTAATTAATAAATAAATAACTAAATGGAAGGAAAGTAATTAGTTATACTTCTCAACAGAAATATTTTAAATTATTTTCATGCCAAAAATCAAAATAATCTTTTGGGATGACTATTTCTAAAGCACCAGTATTTTAGTGTATGTCAGGGGAAGAGCTAACAATCTATTCGCCTTCAAAAACCTGCTGTTTTGCTTCATAAATACTTTGGGAATTTCCTAACCAATGGGAGGTCTGTCAAGGCTTTGCCCTATTTGGGTTTGGTTTGGGAGTGATGGTGTTGGGGTTTTGAGGTTTTTGGGCGTTTGGGACTTTTTTGGTTGGTTGCTTTTTTATGTTAGGCTTTAATGAAATTGTTAGACTATCTATACATACAGCCAGACTGCCATGCCTACAAGACACACGGTGTGAAAGAGGGAGACTCCCTGTAATAAAGTTTGTTTTGCTGTGGCCTGGGAATGTTCACCAGGGGTAGAGTATAAAGTAGTTTATGTGCTGTACATTTTTATTTCACCTTATTACTCCCCGATTCCTTGTATGGGTAAGAAAACAGGGTTCTGAAATAGGGAAAGGAATATTATAGGTATGAAAGAAAATTATGTTCGCCTCTGTTCCTCTGGCCATTAAAAACAGAAGGATAATCACTTCAAAAGAGTAAAGCCACAACGTCATTTCTGGTGCTGTACTTTTAGGTTTGTCTTCAGTCTTTCCCATTCCCAGAGCTAATTTCTACTGTGCTAATGCCTCTGACTGGCACTTTCAGGGTCAGAAGTAGCATTGGCCATAGTAAAGTCACATATATGTCAGCAGTTAAACCATTGGTGTGAATAAGGATTTACTATGACTAGGTGACAGCCTGAGGTTTTCACTTTTTTCCAAATAAAACAGGATAATTCTTTTGGTTTTATTGTCACAGTTGTAGCTCTTTGCATTCGTAGCAGTGATGTGTAAACCTGGGAGGAAAGTGGAAGCTTGGGACTTCAACTCTTTGATTAGAGAATTAAGACCCTGAAAGTGTCAGCTGACAGCAGCTGTTTTAAAGTAAAGGGGGCAGAAACAAACTTGTTTGGGGTGTGGGGATGAGGAGAAACCGGTGCGTATTCATTGGTCCCTTCTGCTTCATTCTGTCAACTGGCAGTTTTTTTCAAGTGCCTTTCTGGTCAATTCTTTAGGACACATACTCCTAATCTCCAACAGCTTTGAATCCTGACCACTCATGTATCAAATGCCTGTGCTACTCTATCAGCCTTAGAGCTAATGTAGTGGAAAGAAGCCTTGAAAAGGGGCTGACTCAAATGTTGTTTAATTCCTTCTGAGCTTAATGGTACTTAACACTTTTTCTCTGGCTTGTAAAACACCTCACTAGGGTTTTGCTAGAACCTTGAAGCTTTTGTTTTGTAGTTTGAAATTAAAATGTAATTGGTGATCCTGTTACCTAATCCAGAGATAGAATGCAACCAGATTTAATGGAGAATTGGCGTTTTATACAACTATGATTAAAGTATGACATGGAAGTAAGGAAAAGTCCATTCTTAATGGAAGGCTTTTGCGGAAGTTTGGAAGATCTATGTTTTTGCATTTGGAACAGGCCTTTATCGTAATTCCCCTTTAACTTCTGAGTAGAGGGTAGGTTTATCATGTCTACTAAGTTTGTATGCTGTGTGGAAACTGTCTGCTGAGTTTCTGATATGAATTGCTGTTTCTAATTTGATTACTATGTTAGCTATTTTCTTTAATTTATACGCATTTTTTTATTTTTACATTTACATAGCAAACGGCTTATACAAGAACTTAGTTGCAAGCTTTTTCAAATCTTTTTTTTTTTTCCATGTTATTTTCACATTCTTTTCCACCCTAGAAGTGCAATGCAGTTGTGTACATGAGGGTTACCAAAGAAGCTAGATATTTCTTGTGAAACCAAGACGCTCTTCTGCAGAAAGTTTTACATAATTAGCCATCTCCCCTAGTTGTTTTACAATCAAGTCTACCCATTGCTTTATCATTTTACCTAAAATCAATAATGTCTGTGTTCTCTTCCAAAAATCTGAGAAATAGACACTAGAAAAGGGTCTTTAAGGGTATTGGTATCTTGGGGTTTTTTTTCTTGTTTATTTGTTTAATTAGGTTTTTTTTGTTTTTAAATTTGGAGGGGGGGGAGACTTTTGTAAATAACTGGTAGTTTTGGACTGATTTATGAAAATCATGTATGACTCTTTAAACTGTAGAAAAGCATATGTTCTATCCATTAAACATCACCAAAATCTGGAATATTGATGTAATGCTGAACATTTTTAAATCTTTTAAATCTACTTTTCAGCCAGTGGTATAAGAAAAAATTGATAAGTAAGGTATATTTTAAAAAGTAAGAGTTGTCTGTTCTAAACTCTTCCATTTCTGCAACGGGCCCTTCTCATTTTTCTTCATTATCTGCCTTCCGTATGAAACCAGAAGCACAAATGTCAAAGTAATTTCAGATAAGCATTTCTTGCAGTATTTCTAAGTTGTAGAGAAGAGGAAAGCGTTGGCAGTTTTGCTGGGAAGACTATGCTGTAAAGGTTAATTAGACAACTTTTCAGAATTAGAAGTCACAGTTCTGTTTTCTCTTTAGTTTGACATCTGTGTATTCACATTGTGTATTCCAGAATTATTTCTTATTATAGAGGAGTTAATTAGAGTTGATCCACCCTATCTGGTGAAATAAGGCATTTTAGTGCCCAACTGTGGAGGACGTGTTCACTGAATCTTTATAAACTTTATTGTTACCTCCCCAATATCACACAGTAGGGGAAATGCTGTTAATATACTCAGTCATGTCTGTCTTAACCCCATCTTTTGTTTTTTGCCTTTAGGGTGAACCTGGTTTGCCTGGCATAGCAGGAGAGAAGGGAGCAGCAGGGCTTAAGGTTGGTATTGAGAATGGATTAAAAACAGAATCACATGGGACGTGAGTACATGTATAGATGACAGTCATGCTTTCCAGCTTAGGTTTATATTCTCACTGGCTTTTAATGATCTCTTTCCTCCAGTGATCACTGCCGTAAGAGGCTTTGCACATTCCACCATAAAGAAGCATATTCTTCTGCTGTGCTGTGCATATAGAATTCCAGTCAGTGGCACTGACGCACATGCATCCTCTGCCAAATGAATGCAATATGCCTGCAAGTGTTTGGGAATTTGGGGACCTTTTTAGGAAGGCTTTGTTTATGCTCCTCACAATGCATTTCAGGCTTCTTTTCAAGAACTGCTGTGGTCAATTCTTTGATGAATGTCAGGGTTAAGTCTTGAGAGCTGATCCTGCTATTATGGAAGTTAGCAACAAGACTCATTAGAAACATGCCTTGGCCTGTATTGTTACATCAGAATGTCTCTTTGCACTTACTTTATTGTTAAATATTTTTCTGCTGTTTTGATATGAAAAGTGAAATAGAACATAAAGCTTATGATAACTTCATTTAAAAGAAAGCTCAACGTGTCTGAGATGATGTTATCTGTGGGCCTCTTGGAATGGGTAATGCTAAATTCTAATCCCATCACCTGCAAGTGTTTGTCTTTGGTGCACATGTGCTCCTCAGCTGATTCTGTGGATCACACTGCTGCTGACAGATGCACAGGGCAGGCTCTTTGCATTTACTGACTGGCTTGAAAACAAACCATTTAGGAGCATGACCTTTTCCTACTTTGTATACAGAAGAAGCCAAATTATAGCAGTTGATGCTTAATTTGTATTCACAGCTGTAGCCTTTGAGTTGCCTAGAGACTGACAGCCATCAAAATGGGCAGAGATGAGCCAGAAATGCAGAGATGAGTTGTCAGGGTCATGCTGGTGTGCAAAAGTACATTTGCCATTGAGCAAGTTATAATTTTGAAAAATAATGGCTATAATCCACCCTTTTATTACAGAGAATGTGAAGAACACTGAAGGCTCTTTGGTCTGTATAAATTATGAGCTAGTTCAAGACATTTAAGGCATTTTGTCTTTTCCAAAGATCTTTCTAAGCCATTAACAGAATCATAAGACTTTCCCCTCATATTCGGCCTTTGGATTTTTCCTTTGTTCATTCCCAAAACAAGGAGAACCGAGCATAGGAGTCACCTGGGTCCTGCCAGGCCACTTCACAAAGACATATGCTTGTTTGTTAGGGTTTAATCTAGGACAAAATGGGGGGCGGGAAAGTCTGCATGCAAATCATTAAGCTTTTAACATTATGTTGAAGATATTTGGTCTGTTGAGTTCTATTGAATTACAGTATGTCACTGTTTATTGAAGATTTTCTTGCTGGATTTTATAATCAGAGACAATCATCAGTGATGCCAGATCGTTAGTAACTGACAATCTGATGAACATAATATCAACACTGATTTTTGCTTATGGTGGTAACTTATGACTTCTTTGCCTCAATTATTTTCATCAGGGTGACCCTGGAGAAAGAGGAGAAAAGGTGAGCTATGTTCCACTTCCTTTGTTGTGGTTCTGTTTTGTAGAACTGTTTGGAGAATCACCAGTGCACTGATTCTGAGTTTAAGAAGAAATAAATATAGCTATTACCTAGAATTTGTACAGTGTTGTGCACCCTTTATGAGTGCCAAATAACACCTACTAATGAAAGTTACTGCAGTGTGATTAGTCGCAGAGAGAAGTGGTCATGTGTTAGAGGCTGCACAGCTGAGTAACTGTGAAAATAATCCTAATTATGATTAGTCTCAGGAAAAGATGAGCCTGTCTAATAATGAGAGATCTACACATTTTATAACCTGATGTTAACGCTCTGTCACCTGTGTGGAGTAAAACAATTAGGTAACAGAGTGATAACTACATGGACTCTGAATGACATACAGGTAACAAGTTCACTGCATACTGAAAGTGGAGTTCTCCATTCTTGCATGCATCAGTTTAAGTAAAAGCAGGGGAAACTGCAACAGTCTTAGGCTATAGGCTGTCCAGAGAGGTACCAGCAGCACCAATTGAACACTAACGGTGTTGTGACTTGAAGCGAGTTAGCAAGGAGTTACTGGTCTGACATCCACAGTCATGCTAAGGGAAGACAAGGGGGTAGAACAAGCTCCACACAGCAAAGCTTGGGTTTAATTATGCTCTTCCAGGGAAAGTGGCCAGTAGGAGCTGCCATGTGAAAGTACACACTGAGAGTCAGGCTTCTGCAGCTGAAGAAAGGAAGTTTGAGAAAGGGCATAAGCCTTGTTTTGCTTAGGAATCTGTACACAGACTCATTTTCTGAAAATACAGTAAGACGTTTTTAAAAAGTAAGTTGCTTGTATACAGGTGAAATTTGCTCTTGAGAAATGGAAGCGTTTAAGGTCAAGTTAGACAGGACTTTGAGCAACCTGGTCTAGTGGACGGTATCCTTGCCTGAGGCAGTGGGGCTGGAATGAGACAACCTCTAAGGTCCCTTCCAACCCAAACCATTCTGTGACTCTATGAAATATTTACCCATGTATAGCTGCTGGAAATATGCTTTGAAAAGGCAATTCATTTCACATTTTGAAAAACACATCATAAAAATAATCCAAGGGGATCTTGAAAGTGTGTATCCCACATTTATGTAATTGGGAAACTCTTTTCATCATTAATCACTACTCATCATTAATCATTTTCATCAGTAATCATTACTTTAGTTAAAATTATATTTGTAGAACTTCAGTAATTATTTATTTTACAACACAAAAGAAATAACTACTAATTTTAACATATACTGAATTTCTGTTACTGAAAATAATGATATTTTTCCATAATCTTCTTTTGTTTTAAAAATGTAATTCTAAATGCCCTCAATATACTGTATCATGTTGAATGAACCTGGGATGGCATTCCTAACAATTATTGTTTTGTGTTCCCATGTTTTCTCAAGCCCTTAAATAAGATACTGCTGGATTGTTAGCTAATTCCCATTGTTTCAGTGACATAGAAAATGGTCTCTAAGTCCTCTGAATGAAATTTTACATTAAGATTTTCACAGCAATATGACAGATACTGAATAAATATTGTTATTTGAATACTGTTACTGATTATCTGACCAAGACCTGCTACACCTTTTTTTGCTTGCTTAGACTCAACACTTATCAATATTTTTGGCATTTTAAATAATTCTCACACTTTATATGAACCTTAAGTCCTGCAGAAATTTTTGGCCTATAGTCATATGTAGCAAAGACTTTTTAGTGCAGTCTAGACCTATTGTATATCTATATGATTATATGTGGAAGTTGTTTCCAAAGGTAAATCTTTGGAAATGTTTCTTTACAAAGTTGGTTTTAAAGTAGAAAATGTCTACCCAGCCATTAAAAAAACTTTATCTGGACATCACCTTTTTGTAACAATAAATATTGCAGAGTATTTATGTAGAGATAACGATAATTTTTCTTACTCCTTGGAGTGGCATTCAGTGAAGTTTTTTCAGTGTGTGAATCATTCATGAAGGACCTGTTGGAGCAAGTCCAGAGGAGGGCCATGAAGGTGATCAGAGGTCTGGAATACCTCCCTTATGAGGAGCGACTGAGAGAGTTGTGATTGTTCAGCCTGGAGAAGAGAAGGCTCTGGGGAGATCATACAGCAGCCTTCCAGTAACTAAAGGGGACATACAGGAAATCTGTAGAGAGACCTTTTGGAAAGGCATGTAGTGACAGAAAAAGGGGAGATAGCTTTAAGACGAAGGAGGGTAGATTTATATTAGACATTAGGAAGGAATTCTTCTCTGTGAGTCTGATGAGACACTGGAACAGGCTGCCCAAGGAAATTACGGGTTCCCCATCCCTGACAGTGTTCGACTAGGCTAGTGGAAGGTGTCCCTGCCTATGGCAGGGGGTTTGGGACTAGATGATCTTTAAGGTCCTTTCCAACCCAAACCATTGTCATTTTACAGCTTCAGACTCTGAGAGTATATGCCATAAGTTACTTGAGAGCCTTAATAAATGGTATTGGAATCATGGAACTGTAACCTGAATTTGACTAGATGCATTTAGGTGAATGTCTTTCTTGAAAAAAACAAATGTACTGGTAATTTAAAATGCTGAATCACCATGAAATCATTCCTTCAGTGCTAAACCACAGTGAACTGGGGAAGTCTGTAGACTATACTGACAATATATGTAGTTATTTGATAGTTTGTGGGGTTTTTTTGAGGACCTGTGAAAGGAATTACAGCTGTAGTGAAGACTGTGTAAGACACAGCAGGTATATAAACCATGCTTCCTGACCAAGTCATAGAGAGATTGATTACCTGATTAACAAAATTAGGTTGCTAATCATATTGGAATGCTGAGCCTCCTCTGCATGCTGTGTGCTCACATAAAATCACTAAAATATAGTACATATTGTAATTACAGGGTGATGCTGGAGAAAATGGACAGAAGGGTGACACGGGAGAAAAGGTATGCTACTTAGTAATAGAGAAGAAAATCTGTTCTTTAGGCATGCTTACGGAACAAGCAGCTAATGAAAACAATAATTTGATCAAAAGAAAACCACATTTTAAAGGGTTTTTAAACAATTCTGAGTGATGTAACTGTTCATTTTTTATGCAGAGCAGGAAAAATGTCACTGTTCTGTCCAATTAAGCGTAAAATTCTTGACTTTATACAGCAGCAGGTAACTTCCCTCCAAATTGCCAGCTGGACAATTCAGAGTTGAAGATAAAAACGATTTTCTAAATTTTTTTGCCAGATGAAATCAGCAATAATCTCACCTAATACTTTGTTAGTTCATTGCTGCGAAGTATCAATATGCTGTAGAAGTCACTGAAGACATTGTTCAATTTATTTTACTTGATTTTGTGTGTGACTTATGCTGTATCATTGAAAGAAAAGAAAAAAAAGAACTTAGTTTTCATATGTGCTTTCTTTAACACAAGTGATAGTTTTTAGCACAGGAAAGCCTGTGTTGCACAGGAAGAAGGGTGAGTCATAATGATCTCTTCCAACCATCACTTTGGAGGTCATATGCTTTGAAAGCATCCAGTTTAGTGACTGCACTTGGGCGGAAGAATAAAGATTTCTTCTTGTACCCCTGTGTATGCAATTGCTTAACCAACTCACATCAGTTCAGCGCAAGGAGAAATTTATGATGGATTTATCAAGCTGGCAAGGAATGCATGCAAATCTCTCAAGTTCTATGGTTTAGGTACAGTAAAGCTATGCTTTCAAGAATGTAAGGTTTTTATGGGGCATATTCTAAAATCAGCAATCAAAAATAGACATTAGATTGAAGAATAGTCAAGTTAATTGCTTCCCAAAGTTCATTTAAATAATACTTTATCTGCAGTCATGCTTATTAGCCCAGATGAAAGTCATAAGAACCTTATTAGTTACTTATACAAATTATGCTGGTAACATCATCTCAGTCCACTTTTGTATCATTCAAGAATATAGCCTTTTAGCAAGTGTGAGATTCTTGTTCAGAGAGATAGTCCTGCAACATGTAAATGGGAAGTTTATCATTTCTTTTGAAAGCCTAGTGCAGCTTCACTTGTTCCTTTTCTACTTTATCAACTGTGAGAGCAAGCTTGCATCCACTAGAATGCTAATACTGTGCTTTAGTCCGCAGTGCACACATATTTTTGCTTGGGATCTTGTTTAAGGAAAGAAAAAGTTCTTTCAGTGGGAAATCTTTTCTCCCATGTATAATGTTTTAAATATTTCTGTATGAGTTTTCAACAGTTTGGCAGTGAATTTGTGGAAAGTATAGGTCATCAGGAGACTTCTGAAATTGCTGTATCTAAAGAAATTTCAATAAACTTGTTGAACTTCATAATGCAGAAGTCTCCCGTCTCTTCCAGGTTTCATATAAGTTTCTGAGGAGACATGGGAAACAATGCTGGTTGTGTGGAGTGTGTTGTCTTAACCAGAACAGGGTAGAATCCACTGCATGAATTTTTACAAGAGACATCAGAACTATGACTTAATTGCCCTTCATTATTTCTCCTCCATTTTCCTGATCACAAGAAAATCTGCCACCTAGAAACATAGGGCCAGATCTTATGGGAGAGTTACAGCTTAAAGCTGCTGATAGGGAGTTCTGCAAACAGCATTTGTAAGTGAGCTTAGGAGGGTGTCTTTTGACAGCTAATATAAGAGTGAGCATTAAACTTAGTGTCATTACATTTGTACTAGCCAACAAGGAGTATATTATTTCCTGCATAGGGGAAAGATTTTGCTGTATGATCATTACATACAATTCCAGCATGAATTTGCCCAGCAATCACTAGTAAGTGTTAAAGGAAATTAGAATGTCTATTACAGGCATATTCTACATGTTCACAAAGTAGCCTTGATTTTTTTTCCTATATATTTTTTTAATTTGTATTTTTTACTGTATTGTGACTGTACTTTCTCTACTGATGTAGAGTCATCTTGAGGAGGCAGTTAAACTTATCTTGAGTATAAACCCTACTATAACAGGGTGTTTAAAGTAGCTCTATAGTGTTCCTTCTGTGTTTTCCACTGAGTGCTTTCTATTGGGCAGGAACATAACATAAAAAACTGTCTGTTTTCTTACAAGCAGCAGACAAAATTGCGTTCCAGCAAATTTTACAGCTTTATGGATGCATTATGCTTATACATATCTTCAGTTATATTTTTTCCCTGCTACAAAAACTGTATTTTTATTTGGGTAGCTCTAAAACGTTTGGGGCATGTGTTACATTATGGAATTTCACTACCAGATGTAGTTTTTTCCAGCTGAATACTTGTGAGGAGAAATGTAAGACTTATTAAGGCTTTGTTTTTAAAGACTGGTTTTAAGAGAGCTGCTGCATGTATCCAGAGATGAGATAAGGCTAGTATCCATTCAGTTCTCAGCTGTTGAACCACATACATGTAGAAACCTTTCCTGCTCAGTAAACAAGTCATTAATTTTATGTAAATAAATGAAGAGACCATTGCACTAGATCATAATACTACACGTATGCTTAAGGAATTTAATTGATACTTCAAAAAAGTTAAAAACATTTATTTAAAAGCTTAAATAATGCTTCTGTGAGATAAATAGTAAATTTTCACTTACATGGTGAGAGAGAGGTACAAGGTGACAAGTGTCAGATTTGGCTTAGGAATGGGTTCCTCTTTGTGCAATTAATGTAGCTTTGTTTTCTGAACTGTTGTACCTAGTGGCTTTCAAACAGGAACTTGGGTACCTACATCTTGACCTGTGGCTTAAGAAAGAAACCATTTCAGCTGAATTGTCCTACTTCTAGCGCCAGACTTGAGTTCTTGCTTCCACTCTCCTACTGTAGCCTTGATCCCTAGAAACTACCAAACATCTTCCTTCTGTGTGCACGTTCCCTTGTTAACATTTCTTCATTTCCAAAATGTCTGACTCATCAGAGAATTTAAAACATGCTGTACAATAATTTTTTCTTTAATTCCATATTAATTTTGATTCTTGCAGGTAGGTGGCCACATTTTGTCCTACCTTCCCCATATCCACCATTACCGCTCAAAATGTTTAACTCATGAATGTCTCTTACCAGTTGTTTTACCACTTAACAGTTATAAAAAGTCCTTGAGGTTTTCTACACACTTGTAAGTGACATTAGCAGTATCAGTCATGTGTGTCTATGAAAATGAGGCAGCTCAGGTTTCTGTGTCATTCACAGAACATTTTCTAGTAGCTTCGCTGTTACTTCCAGTGAAAAATCTAATTTTATTTTACATAACAAATAATGAGACAGTTCTTCAAATAGAAGCACTTCAGCCATCTTCAACAGATTGTAAGTTCACTAGCAAATTATTGTGGGGTTGTGTTTTTTTTTCATTTCTGTTTGGTGTGCCATTTAAGAAAAAAATGCAGCCAAGTATGAGTGCACAAGAATTGTAAGGATCTTCTGACAATTGTAAAAAACTCTGAGCTAAAAGCTTCTTGGCCAGGTCACTCTCTGATCCTCTGCCTTTGTTCATATCAATGCCTATCAAATCCAGTCAACCCAGCAAAACACAGGCAAATCTTTCTGAATATTGTATGTCTCCTCATAAAAGACCTTTCCTGAATACATAAATTACTGTAGCTTTCTAATCTGTAAAGTATAACACTTTACTGCATTAAACTATCAGTTTAAATATGTTGAATTGCTGAGGAAATAGAGCTATGGCTTGTCCTGATGGGGATAAACATATAGGTCACTGAGGTTTTTTTCTAAGGTGAACTTTCAATAGCACAAAAAGCTTTGTCAGTTGAGACCTGACACTTGCCATCTGTAGAATTAGGTCAAAAAGAGTGCTCGCATTCTTTGTAAATGGCAGTAAGTGATTTTTAATGCATATCAGCAATTTAGAGATGTCGAAGTATGTCCCATCTTCTGGCTTTATGAAGAATATTTATACAAAATCTGCAATTATATACTCTACATTAGTAGCTGTGAAATTTGAGGATAACTATTATGCTGTTTGGATGAGTGAAATGAAAATCTCTCTACATATTCTCAAAAACAATTCTGTTCCTTTTTCTGAGCCACACTGATTTAATTCATTGGGTAAATTCCTATGTAGCAGCACAGAGAACAGGTAATCTTGCTATATAGTTATTTTGCTATATAGTCTTCCTATACTCTTGCATGTTTTCTTACGTATTTTTCTTGACAAACTGTATATATAATTATTCCTTGTGGATTTTCTATCAGGGTGACCCTGGTTCTTCTGCTGCAGGAATTAAGGTAATTTGGTTTTAAAGCAGTTTGATAGGGACAACAGGGGTGGTTGGTCTGTGCTACTCTGTAGCGTCACAGACATTTCAAGTACCGTTAATGTTATGCTTTTCCCTAGCTCTATTTTTAATTCATATTGTCAGATCTCATGTCTTTCATCTCTTTTAGGGTGAACCTGGTGAATCTGGACGGCCTGGACAAAAGGTATTAGTTGGAAATGTTCAGTTTTCCTTTTCTTCTCTTGGATTTGTGAATAAATGATGTTACACAGATGTTACCACTGGTACTTACCTGCACTAGGATGAGACCAAAGCAGTACAATTTAACAGTGCAAGGCCTGTAAGCATTTGGTGTGTGATTGTTTTGTATTTTTTAAAAGTACAGGAATGATTAATAACAATGAAAAGCAATATTAGACTAACCCACCTCCCCTTCTAGCCACAGCACGCTTGCGTTGAAAGCTTACCCAATTGCAGTTGGGAAGACTAACAAAGAATATGAGTAATCACAAGTTAACCCTGCATGTTTGACTGAATATTAACCTTCAGACTGTGGTGCATTATTACATCTCACTAGGAAGAAAATAAATATTGACTAGAATCCCCTTCACATATACCTGTAAGGGGAATCAAACTGTCAGAAGCACGCAATGTGTTTGGAAGGATATAGACCAGGTAATGCCATTCTGTGCTTCCTTCCAGGGGCAGAAATTCCCCTGGGCGCTGTGTAGGTGAGGCTGCTTTTGCAAGTAGAGGTCCAGAAGGAGCTATAATGACTCCACATGAGGCCCTCTGAAGCTGGGGAATTTCCTCTTTGAATCTATAGTACATCAAAAACAGTGAATGCTGTTCCTTCAGCTGCCATTCATGAGAGTAGGAGGCAGGTCCTGCTGGGAGAGCTGATGAAAGGGTAAAGAGGAGAGACAATGAGGGAACCAGATTTTTGTTTTGCAGTACTTGGTTTTCATCAGAAGCCTTCGACATCGTTTTTGCCTCTTATAACATTGAAAATTACTTCCTGCTGCCAAAGTGGAGCAGAGTTCATCTGCCAGTTGAGCTAGCAGGTATTCCAGACAGATAGCCAAGAGTTAAAATTCTGTATAGTGAGCGGCAGTATAACTGTTTTCTAATACTTGAGGTCTTCTGGTGACTAAGCAAAACCCCAAAATATGTACAAAAATAAAACAAATATAAAATTAAATTAAAATAAAATGTTAAGTCTTTTTGTTTGAGAAATTATAACTGTCACTAATTATAAGGCTAAACAAAGGTTATTATGGTTGTAAGTGAAGTGCTTTAGTAAAATGCAGTTTTAGTTAGGAAAGGTAATCAGAGTAATTTAAAGCTATTGAATCCACAAAATCATTCAGTGCATGCATTCTGCAGTGCATGCTTTTCTTGGGTAATAAACTAGAAAATGCGCTTAGGAGCCTGTTAAGATTCATATCCTCATTAGCTGGCTGCCATGGAGGCAAAACTAGCGGTGATTTATCAGCAGGCACCTGGATCTCAGTCCCCAGGTACTCAGGTTTGATTTCATTTAGGTAACAGATAAGTGAGAGATACACAGTTCAGATGTCCTATAGTCTTAGCTTGTTATTCTCACCAAGGGAGCTTAAGGTATTCTTTCCCCTTCACCTCACAAGCTTCCAGCTTGCCACACAGGTCCCAGCCCGAACAGCAGCCACAATAATGCACTCATTCAGAGTGCCTCCTCCAGCCAGGTGCCCCTTGTCTGCTGTTCTGCCCCCTGCTTAGCAGGTACTCATTCACCCACCAAAGGTTTTGTGGAGCCCTTTTTTCAACTGGAGACATGCCTCTACCCTCTAAGTCTCCACAATAGTTTTCCCCCTACCATGTCCCATTCTGATTTCCTGCTGGTGTCTTCCTTCCTTCCTTCCTTATGTTTAACTTCTTCCTCTTCTTCCAGTTATTCTTTACCCACCTCCTAAGGACAGATAAATATTGAGCTGCCCACCTAAATACTATTTACATTAAATGTGACAGTATTTCAGTGGCCTGGCAAGCCTGTTGTGTGCTATATATATTGCAGAGGTGACAGAACAACCTGCCCTGCCAACCTGAGCATTATGAGATGGAGATAGTATACAGCCTTGGTTTCTTTAAAAATCATTTTCTCATAAATCATACTTAATTTTTTTTGTATCGAGAAAGGTCCAGAAAAGAAAGTAGTATGCATTCTTCTGCAAGAAGAATTTAGCATTAGCAATTTCAACGTGTTTCACATTTTTTAAAGTTATCTTTGAGGGGTGTTTTAATTGATTTTGATTACTGTAATTTTGAACCGGCTTTGGTGCTTCCTTTCTGCTTGTTACATGTGGGTCTATGAGAGTTATCTCTGTCCCAAGACTAAACAGAGACCTACTGCAGCAATACCGACAGATTATCAGTTATAATTATTCAAATGCTGTTCTTACAAGTGAAATTTAGTACTTCCACACTTAGATGAGAAAAGGTCACAGTAGTAGTGTTGTATGTATGGCTACTCAAGTAAGAAACTGCAAGACAAGAGAAGTAGGTTTTTGGATCTAGTATTTTGTCAGGAATGAGTGCAATGGAGGCTTTATAAAGGATTATTCTTTTGCAAGAGTGACAATACATATTCTGCTTTAGAAAGTTGGGCAACATACCCAAAAATACTAGTATCTGTTGAAAATGGTATCCTAGCCTCTGTTCTTTCATCTGATGCTATAGTTAATATTTTGAGACTGGAATATTTCCTGTGCTTCTAGGCAATGTGAAGAGTTAAAATTCTGAAGTAACTAAAATGGGCAAAGAAGCTGTTATTAGATCCTTCTATAACATTTAAAAATCACTCCATTTGGTAAAGCAATTTGCAGACCCCTTATTGTGTTCTTCAGTTTGTGGCAGAATATAATTTTGTTATTAGCCCTACAAGTCTGTTTAATATTAATGCCTCGAAGAAGTGTCTCTGGGTACTGATAAATATCTATGCTGTGCATATATGTATTTGTATTTGTGCATGTATACATGTGTATACATGAGTGTATGAATGTATGTATGTGCCTATACATACACGTAAAATATTTAAACAGCACAATCTGGATGAATCAGCCCAAACCACAGAGTTGAAATCTGGATTTCTATAATGCTCAGCAGTGTACAAAACCTGGAATATAGTTCAACTCCTTCTAAAGGTAAAAGCTGGTTTCAGAGTTCAGACCTGAGCTTCCAGAAAGTTCAGGGAATATTCAGATCCAGGCTGCTGGTTATAATCCATCTCTGTATTAAAATAAAATCTCCAGACTTTAAAATAATGTTTTCTTCATGTTATTGCTTTTTTTGCCTTTTTTTTTTTTTTCTGTTCATCATCTTTATTTCCCTGGACAACATCTTTCCATTTAGCTGATATCTCAAAATGATCATTTGTGCAAATGTTCTCATTCTTTTTTTAGACTAATATCCATTTCATTTCAAAATTAATACATTCAGTTTTCAATTCCTGTTACAAAATATCCCTTGCAAATGCAGCACTGTAAGTCTTTTCATTGCAGTTTTAAACAAGCAAGGTTCTTCTGGGTAAAGTAATAGAAGATTACATTCCCATTATCCTTCATGACACCATGTATATTTACAGATAAATAGCAAGCACTGAAATGATGCTACAGATAGCTCTATAAAAATGGTGGCCCAGTTATAATTAGGTAGTCCTGCTTGAGCTGCACAATTTAAACCAAGCTCTTCTTAATTGCTCTATAGCTAAACCAGACAGTTACACAGCACAGTATCTAGCTCAGAGTTGAAAATTGAGCAGAATTAAACATCTGTTGTTAAGTATGGAACTGAAATGGCAGCATGTAAAATGAGCCATTGCTGATTTTTTAATTCTCTTTTGGTGAAGGCTAATGTGAATTCATTTTTGGCTCTTCTGATGTGGATTTTCAACCTCAGTGTCATCTTCAGACCCAAAGTTCCCAGAAGATATTTAAGTTCTTAATATGACTTTTACTAAGTGTAAATTTAAGTCACTCATTTTGAAAATATCAGTCCTGCTTGAACTGGCTAGCGGTAATCTATGCTTTTTTATCTTGCTGCAGAATATATAGGGGTGTTCACTGGATAGTGATTATAACTGAATAATGTCTGTAATATTATGTAATTTTCCTGTATAGGGTGAACCAGGTCTTCCTGGGCTTCCTGGACTCCCTGGGATAAAGGTAAATAAATCGTAGTCTCTTGTACTGGGGAGGGGACACCGCAAAGGGGGAGACTACAAGAATGTGGCTAAAAAGGACTTGCTGTACCTGTGCTGTATCTTCTTCTGTCTCTGGTATTGAACTGGGGATTATCACAAAATGGTTTCACATGGAAGATCAGCCAAGTGTCTGTAGACAAGCAGTATATCATACAATAAAATGTGGAGTGTTTCATTCCAGTGCTTTAAAAAATAATCTGATATGGTAGGGGTTTTATACCTTAATGGAAGAGGCTTGTTATTAAAGCTTTACTTGGTTTCCACTTTGGTGCGTGCTTTCCAGTAGCAATAGTCTACTGAATTTACTGAGCCTCCAGACAGAGAACTGCGTTAATTATACACAGGCTGTGGAGAACTGGCTCTGTCGACAAACATACTCTGTGCTCCATTACACAGCAGTGATTTCCACTGACAAGTCAAAATGTTGTAATAAGATTCTACTCAGTATTAGTTACGATCCCTGACCTAATACCTGGTTTAGTCCCTGCCTTCCGGTTTGTCTAGGATCTTTAGGTTAGTTGATACAAAATACATGTGGTTGGTCTAGTTCTAGCATAAGCGGTTGCACTGGGAATTGTAGATGCTTGCACAGTTTGAGCTAGTAACTGTTTAATGCTGCACAAACTGAGTGGAATCACATATCCTGAGTGAATGCAGATTATAGTTGTTGCTTCTCTTTTGTAGCAAAGACTGCACTTTCAGAAAACAAAATCTCTTTGAAACTTTTTCTTTTCATTCCATCATGGGCCTGTGGATACCTCAGGAGATGGTTTATATCATTTCTCCAGTGACAAGCAGCCAAACTCTTGTCCATTTTGGTAGCATTCAGGATTTATCTCATGGAATGTAACATTTGCAGTGTTTTTCTCAAGGGACCTGTGAATTGCCACAGCAGTGAAGCATGAAGTCCCTTCTGTGTTACTGGTGAATTATGGGAAGTATTGAATGTGCATATTAAAGTTTGTCTGTTGTAATACCTGAAAATATAGTTCCCAGGGAGTCTGTTCATTTTCCATGAGAATGAACCCTATATTGACTAGTGAAGATCATGTAGGAGCTGTCCTTTGTGTGATTAAGGACCTCTGAAAGCAATCCCTCTTTAAGAGTGATCTAAGAGGTAGCTCAGTAGGAGGTCAGTGTCAGCATCTTGGGGGCACTTGCCAAAATCAGCTGGAGTTGCAGCTGGTCTTTGGGGATTCCATATTCGTGCAGATAGTGCATGTCCATGCATATCATCAGCAAGTAAATAAAAAAGCCTAAATCTGAGTCTCTGCTCTGGGAAACTTACTGCTGTTAAGCTTTACTTGTTAGTGGTAGGAATGGCTCAGAAGCGCAGCTTTCGGAGTCACCTGAAAGACAAATGAAAAATGGATGAAATGTGGGAGTTTTGCCCAGTGAAAATTTGTTTCAGAATTCAGCGGATACAGTGGAAAAATAGTACAGTTGCCTGCAGAATAAAATGGAATAATATGGTCAAACATTAATTCTTTTAGGAGAATGCTAGCTTCTATTAAAAATCCAGGTCAGAGGGAGACCAGTCACGGTTCAGTGAAGAAATTCCATCTAGTGCAGTTCTGCATTGAAGTGGCTAGGTACACCCTAGATGGTGACAAACAAGCTAGCAGAATGTGCATAGGAGAGAGCAAAACCAGATCTGGTTACATCAGACTTGCAGAATGGGTGCTCTTTTGATTCAAGGCATCTGTAAGCTCTTTTTAATTAATGAATCTATTGAAAAAAGCCTACATTTTTCTGTCTCAGAGACTACATCTATGGCCTGAGAAGTCATAGGAGAAACCAGTGAATAGCTGGAATTAGGAATATGGGCAACTATTGGGAAAGAAAAGGCAGTAGTTTTGCACCTTTTCTCACCCTCTGTTTGAGTGAAGAATGATGTATCACCATGGTAAAATCATCTATCAATTTCCGAGAACAACCTCAGTGATATCTTATGGCAAAACAAATTTCCAGTGAACTGATGTTGATTGAAAGCTACTTTGAGAACAGTGACTGGATGAGAAATTTAAGCATGGAGGAAATCAAATTGACTGGACTTGCCATCTCTTGGTATTATCATGGTATTACCGCACAAAGCTGAAAGCAGTAACTCTATTTTCCTGATTATTACTTGTTGTTTGTTACATTCTTCTCAGGGCTTCTGGGGTCTGTTTACTTCAGGACTTCATAAAACTCTTTAAAATATGTCTTTGCTATTCTATCTTAACAGTGATATGCAGTGATGGCATAATGCAACAAATATAGTACAAACCTTGCACAGTGTCATCACAACATCTAGGAACTTGTTACATCATGTAAGAAGTTTCCATAAGCAAAGTTTTTTTTCTAAGACTTTAATGGATTTCAGGGTTCTCATGAATTTGCGTGCCAGCACAGTAGCTGTCAGCAGGGATTTTGCAGGCTGTTTCCCAACTTTGTGAGATGGACATCTGGCAACTCAAGAAAAGTGCTAGCAGGAGCATGTAGAAGAAAGTGATGGGGTTCAATACAAGGCAGTGACCATTAATCTCTTTCCCTGTATGAAAATCTAAATATTTTTGTCTTTCTGGTTTAATTTGGATACTATTCTTGTTTTCTGCAGTACTGTTTTCTTCAGTTTCTGTTACATTACACAGGCATGTACAGGCACACTCAAAAGTCTTCTGCAAAATTTTCCATTGAGGTTTCTTGCAGCGAAAATGCTTTACGGTTCTCAGCACACTTTTGATCTTTCTTCCATCTTATATAATTGGAATCACAGAATGTTCACTAAATTTGTGCCTATGATGATCTAGAAATTAACGCATTCTATTTGTTTTCTTCCTTTTGCCCTGAGTTATTGATAAAACACATTTCTTAAGTAGGTTTTAAAGATTATCCCAAGACGGCTGAAATGCACCAATTCCTATAGATGTAGGTTAAACCTGTGTTCAACTGGCCAAGTATGCAAGGAATTAGGACAGTAGATGTTCTAGGAATTAGATACATAAATATCAGAAGTTCATATCCATTTGGTATAGAGCAACTCAAGTCACACAGGTGATTTTGGATGAACGTTATCTGAGGATCATGTTTACAGAGCTTTTATGTTCTAAATAGCTTTGGAATTGTTGGATGTTGATGGGCTGATAGGTTCAGGTATCTTCTAGACAAATGAGTAGAAAGAGGCGAGAGAAGACTCTGTTATCTGATTTTGAAAGAATTTCCTTTAGTGTCTTCTAGTACTTCCATGTAAAGAAATGTAAGATACAGGGATATTCTATACATAGGAAACTCTTCAGTGTAGTTCTAGTCTTCAGTATTTACCCTTTTATTACTCTGTAAGGAACTGCAAGTCTCCTTTTCTTTAAATCTGCTAGTTGAACTACAAATTTGCTTGCTTATGAATGTGTCAGGCTGCATTATTAAATGTTTTAGGAAACTGTGCACATACATAGCACTCTCTAAAAATGCTAAAACAGCCTGTGAAAACATAAATGCTATGCCAGGCAGTGGACCATATCTTCCCAGCTACATCTCATCTTCCTTCTCATGATTGGAGAAGCTTTCTAAGACTTCCAGGCCCGTATGCTTGAATGTATAGACAAACTACTTAAGGGATTAATAAATAGTAATCATTGGGAAAGTTTCAGCTTCTTATAATGCCATTCCAATTAATTAATCAGTGTTCCCAGGAACCTGTTAGAGATTGGTTGAATATGATACTGGAGTCTGAATGAACAGCAACATTGGATGGACATGCAAGTATCATATCTGAATTCAGAGTATGCAGCAGGGTCTTTCGTTACTTACTTTTCTAGACCTATTCACCATGCACATGTGGATGTTTTGGGAGTTCTTCCTGTTCTTTTTCATTCTCTCCTCATTGTCAGTTGGTGCCATGGAGGAAACACAAGTGCAGTCAGTTGTTTCTAAGACAGTGATGAAGCTGTCTTTGACATACTGGAGAAATGTTTCTCAAGCACCTGTTGCTGTTTAGGAATGGCTGGAAACTTAATGATCCCCTGAATGTTCCACCATGTCACTTGGGAAGTGAGCAAGGCACCTAAACACAGACTATTAACTCATCACTCTGATATCTCCCAACTGACACGAAGCAGACACGGAATACTTTCTATGAAACACTAACTTCATCTATCTGTTTTATCTCTTAACTTTCATAGGATGATATGTACAAAGCAGCACTCACTGTGATAGAAGTCATGCATACTCTTACTTATTGTAATGTCAGACATCTCTCAAATCCATTGTGTGTTGCATTTTCTGTCATTTGGGCAGTACAATCCTCAGTTTCATCAGTGTAGTGGGAAGCTTTCACAGAACACTCGTTTCCCCTCAGTAGCAGCACTGTATACAGGATCTTGTTTAGCATTTCTGGCATTTCTCCTTCTGTTTTTAAAACAAATACTGAAACAAAGCTTGGGTGTTTTATTCCATTGTGTCCATGAAAACTGCTGTTGAATGATTTGGCATGAGAAAAGAAAGGCTGCTGATCCCTTCTACTTTCAGTAGGGAATTTTTTCTGTGTTTTCAAATCCAGTGGAACTGGCTGTTTCAATAGATTTGCCAGTATACAGCATTTTGTATCTTTTTATACAATTGCTTTGGATTGACTTCCCTTGGGCTGTGCCTGAACAAGGTTTTAGAAGAACCTGGATAAAGAGATAGGAATTTGATTTTTTTTGAGGTTTTGGTTTGTTTTTTTAAGCAAAAGCAATTCTAATTTTCATGTGTTCTTTATTTATTTTTTTTCTGTTCATATTCAAAGATCTGATCCAGTGACTTCCCTAATTCTGTGTAAAGACTGAAAAACTTGCTGCTCCACAGAACTTATATTTTTAGCTCTAGAAGAGTCAATGCTCCTTTCATCTAGTGAGTTCTGCTAGAAAAGAAAACTCACAGAGAAAATGTGACAGAGTTTTCAAGCTGGATGCTTAGAAGTCAGTATCCTATTTAAGCTCTCTT